CAACCTATAAAAGATAGCAATTGGCCATTGTAATACGGCCACAATTCTAATAGCACTAATTTTTCACGGCGTTAAATTACTAACAAATTAAGCATTTACTTACCTTTATAATGACACTGATAAGAGTTCATTACTAACAATTAAACATTTACTAACCTTTATAGTGACACTGATAGAATTCATTACTAACAAATTAATCATTTACTTACCTTTATAGTGACACTGATAGAATTCATTCTTTACAGATTAATCATTTACTTACCCTGATAGTGACACTGATAGAATTCATTACTTACAAATTAATCATTTACTTACCTTTATAGTGACACTGATAGAGTTCATAACTAACAAATTAGATAGGTAGGTAGGTAGATGACAAGTTAACGTTCGCTTCCAGCGGATGCTGATATCGTAAACTAGGTAGTTGTTGGTAGTTGTAGTAGTTGGTAGTTGGATTGGATCAAATTGGATGATTTGGTGTTATTGGTTTGGTTGTTGATTCTTCGTTAGATCTGGTCGGGTCAAATGACATGGCGGTGAAACTACTAACAAATTACACATTTACCTACCTTTATAGTGACACTGATAGAGTTCATAACTAACAAATTACAATCTGATCTATATTCATTAACAACATGTGCTCCCAGATTCTTCATGATACTGCGAGTCAATTTCTTACTGTCACTATCTAAACAGGATGTGGTAATTATAAATGGTTCATACACCACCCTGAAAAAAAAAGGAAAGGCAAGAAATATAATCAGAAAAATAATTACAATATCTATTGTTAGTACACATTTTTGGTTGTTGGTGCATGAAATCTATCAAAACTTGGTTGAGCAACATTAATTAGCAGACTGTCCCTTTAAGAGCCAACAAGTCTTTTTGGGTCCAAGCACTGAAATGTTCAGGTTATCAAGTGTGTAGTATTTCATTAGGGTTTCAATTTAGTGATAATAAAAAATGACACTTTTAAAAAAACCTTACATGAAACCTGATTTAGGTGAGCCAAAAAGAACTGTAGTCCCGTCTTGTAACAAGATATCACCATCCACTTTCTTACTTCCAACAAAAGTTCCAAACTTTGATAAATCCTTTAACTGAATAATAGGTAGTTTGTCAGGGTTAGCCTACAAAATAGCAAAAAAAATGTCATGACATCACATAGTTATAAGAAATAAGGTTGAACTACTAGTTCTATAGAACATATATCTAAAGCTGTAATATTGTCGTCAAATGTCACCAAACCATAGTTATGGTTTATATTAATCTTTATTCATGCATTCGCCATATTGTATCCAGAACGAGACTCATAACTCAAACAAAGCTAACAGACTGTCACTGCGGTAAAATTGCCACCTTGATGCCTTTAATGATACGATCAGTTGAAAAAATCACCTTTCTTACACATTTCTGAGAAAGATCCTTTTTAAGCCCATTTTCTCTGTGTTGATCGGGTGTTTATTGACGTCACATAGACTATTCCTTCATATGACATTTCCGTCTTATCAGTGGATGATGCAAATTTTCTTTCAGCTTTCAGAGTCTCAAAAACGAGGCATGGGTATCAAGTGTTGTTATTAAGAACTTCATTTGTTTTTTTATTGTTCTTCTAAATTTTCACAATTTGGCCATATTTACTAATTTCATTAAGACTGTGATAATATTTACTGGTGTAAAATGATGCTTATTTTCAGAAGTATAGTTATTGCGAAATTATGTATAATTATTATCACACACAAACATAGTTCACAACCATTTTGTGTCTTTTCCTTAACATTTTTTAGAATAAAGATAAAATTTATGATATGAATCAAATTTTTCAAGGGCTAGAAATAGCTTTAAATGTGATTTGAAATCTTTATTGTAAAAAGTTGAAAGTGACTTATTAAGTTGAGATAGAGATCAAAATAATTATGAACTACGTTCATGTGTGTTATTTCCATGTAAGAACCATACATTATGTAGTTTTGTATGGTATAGTTGTTGCGAAACTGAAGTTTGATCTGAAAACTGTACAAAAAGACCTCAGGAATATAATATAAAATAATAATTACCAAGTTGGCATCAGAATGAGTGACTGTAATAGAAGCATGTTTTCTACTGACTGAGGGATCTCCACTGAGGACTATATCACAATCTTTTCTACCAAATATATACTCTTTACCACATAAAAATACATGTTTCTCACCTAAAATCATGTAATAATTAATATAGCTTATCCAAGATGTAGACACGTCAATGACAAATCTACAACTTGAGTGGTAAGAATTTCCAGATGACACATAATTATGCCATAACACAGGGACAAGTCCACCACTTTCTAAGGTTTATATTTTAATAAAACTGCAGAACACAGGTACGGTACCCGAGTGATTAGTTATTACTAAAACTTACATATATCAATTTTCAATATATATTGTTGGAAAGAGATTGTAAAGCACATTCAAAATCAGAAAAGATGAATCCTCTAGTTCATTTCCAAAGCAGCTCACAGTTGCCAAATTCGCTGTTTATGGACAGCTATAAAACCATAAGTAGATGTAGAACTTTGTATATGAAAGTATCAATAGGTCAATAACCTTTAACTTTGAAAAGGTCAAGGTCATCAGGTGAAGGTCACTAGGTGTAAGCCTTCAGCCTTTTTAAGAAAAAAATTCAAAAAGCAAAATCAAAATTCCACAATCGGTTTTCTTGCAAGATTCAACCCACTCCCCTGATAAAATTTCAGTATAACAAAGGTAGTTGTCAATCTGTGACCAAACGTACTAAAAATCTAACTTGTTCAAGATATTGTTGATTTAACCCAACACACAAAATTTCATAAAATTCTGACATAAACTCTATTGTGCTGTCAAACAAATTTTGATGCATTTTTACCAAGTCAAGGACTCAAGGGCAATATCTCAAAAAACATTCATCAAAAAATCTATAGGCCTAATGCTCATGAGCAAATTTGACTAAGTCGAGAACAATAACTAAAACATTGTTCATCTAAATGGACGAAATGCAAGAAAGTTCTTAAGCCTGATTTTTTACCCTAATAAAGTGATTATTATTATTTATAACAATCATCAAATTCGAATTTGTCTAAGATCTCATCAATAGGAGAAATCAGATTAGCCGTGATATGCTACAAATAGAATATGATTTGAGTAGGAATAACCACTCTTTCAACTGTTTAAGTTGCGCATCATGTGATACACAAACCACCTCTCTGACATCACGGCTGATCTCTCCCCTATATAACTGTAGTTTCTATTGCGCTAACAACCAAATTTTGACGCGTTTTGACTAAGTCAACGGCATTAACTCAAAATCAATTAATTGAAACTTCGTCAAGTTCGATTTAGCCTATGTCTATGATCTTATTATATAGCCACACAAAATTTCATTAAAATTTAATTGTTGAAATGCAATTCTGTAAAACAATGAGGAAAGACATTAGCCTACAATGGTATATAGTCAAGTAACCTAATTTCGTGGAAACCTATTATTCATGGATTTCCGGAAACGATTAATAATTTACATTATAAATTTACCAATTGGTAAATTACATTACCTTGTGCGACCTCCGCATTAGTTTGTTTTGATAAACATGGGTTTTCTCTACAATATCAGCTAGTAGAATGAATTCAGCAGTTTCAAGAAAGGTAAAATTATTAATGTATACTTTGACAAATACAAAATGGTGGATTTATTACCAAACGTCACCATTTTTTATCGGCCGAATTTCCTTATAATCCCAAGTGGTAATAGAAATTCCAAGTGTCGTCTGCTAGAATGTAGTCCAATGAAAGAAGTCACGTGATCAACTAGCAGATTCCGTGTCAGCAGAAAATTTCTATGGAACACAAAGTGGACCATATTCTTATGTTGTTTCAATGACTTTTATCAATTAATCACGCTACATATCTTATTTTATCAGTCACTATTTTTTTTTTTATATCGTGGTTCTTTGAAGGAATTGTCACTAGTTATAATGAATTGATATTAAAGATAAATACTAAGAGAAGTTAATTATACCACCCAGTATCCATACAACGTGTTTTTCTCGACTTATTTATAGATCAAACATTGTACACGAAAATAGGTGATGCATTCTGCCGCGTAATTGCCTAGTTGGTTGCTCATGAAATATGGGTCAAAGTGAAGGATTCATAAAGAAAATCGAAATAAACCAATTTTAATTATTTTGTAGAAAATCTGAGGAAATATCTAAGACAAAAAAAGAAAATTTCGTTTTTTTAACTTTGACGAAATTCGGTGTTGAATCCTTATATCCACGAAAATAGGTTACACCATTGTATCGCTATATCACTGTATGTAGCCTAATGTCACTAACCCATGTCACGGAGACATCACACAGTCGACATGTCACAACAGTGTGAGTGTCAATACCTCATCCTCATGCTCATCAAAAATTCAGTCAATGACAGTCGATATCGATATGAATTACCAATAAATATATAGGCTTTTACCTGGTTTGGATTCAGAAATAAGATACCACATAACTAATCATTGACATTAAAAGCAGAAGTAAATCTGCCCAGATTTATCAGTCCATGAAAGTTTTTTTTAATTTTTATTAATCCGTATTTCCCACCGGTCTGAAGTTAACGTACAACAAGTTACCATACAGAATGATATTAAGACAATTCGACCCAGTGACAGTGTAATGTACAGGTGTTTATGTTTCAGCACAGCTTTAATGGTTTACAAAATTACACACTGAACACATAGTCACAAATAGGCTACTAACAATCAACTCAACAATCAAATCTATTCACCCTAGCTGTTCTATCTCTATCTTCTTTAAACTTTATCCATTGGTGAACTTCTGTTCAACTCACCATCTCATCTCTCTGAACATTCTTACTTTTCTATCTTTTTGTCATTAAGCCTTTAGTTTTCACGTAGAAAGGACGTTTCATTTCTTTTCTTTACCTGGTTTTGGCGGGAAATTTGTATTTTACAATTCATTTTTCATAGGTTGTGTTGTTCATTTAAGGATTAGCCTATTTAAATCAGTTCTGGATTTAAAAGGTAGGCCCTATGTTTATATATAATATTCTGTATTGTGCTCTGTAATGTTTTGCAAGTTTTATAAAGCAAAGTGTATGGCAGCCATCTTTAATTTCAATATATTATTACATAGTTCGATTGTGGTAATTAGGATTTTAGTAATTGCACAATAATATGGTAAAATATAGTTTTTGATAAGAGTATTAATATTTCTAGGTTTAAGGTATTTCACCTTATTATTCTCCAGTTTAATAGCTTAAACGCCCAACTTCTGGGTATGTAGGCTATTTTGTATAGTTAATATTTCTTTATTTATATTCATCATGACGTAAGTGGGTTGGTGCCTTAAAGGGACAGGTAGGCCTTTTTTGACCAATCATACTTTTATCACATAGCTAATCAGTTATAGGTGTTATAGAAGATACTCTCCTATAGAAGCACTGGCCTAGGTCACAAGTAGAGACTATGGATTTCAACATGAAAACTATTTCAATTCAAACAGAATATGTTTTACTGAAGATTATTCATAGATTATTACTTCTGGAGAGATTACAAGAAAAAATATATTCAACTCAAATTCCAATGCAATTTTTTCAAGGAGTTGATGAAAGGGGTTCTAATCTACCATGAACCAATACATTACTAAAGTTTTTATTTCTTTTATATGCAGTGACAGTATTCACAGCTCACCGTCGAAATTTTAGCCGTTAAATCCATTTGTGTCAAGAATTATCTGGGTTTGAATGTTAAAATGACGACTCGTCAATTTAAGATACTCTGTGATATATAATAGATATAGAAATAGTGAGTAAAATTCATTTCATAAATGAGGTGTTTCTAAAGGAATTTTGCGATTTTCGTACATTTCCAGTACTTCTAAAGACTATTTTACAGTATATTTCAAGATTAAAATCAACCCCTCAAATTGGCACACTGTTCCTTTATGCGCTCCTGCATTTTTTACAAGCTATAAATTGAAAGTGTTTTAAAGATCAAGGGTAATAGCCTAACCCATATCAAATATTTCCGACTTCATTGATTTTTAATAGTAGACCAACTATCTATGGTGATGATGGCACCTTCACAAAATTTCAAGAATTGTGCCTTCTATAGCACGTGTTTATGAGCAAGAATTTTTCAAGAACATTGGCAATATTAAAAATTTTCGGCTTCTAAGAACTTAAGAAATACAACTTGTCAGTCGATAATGTCAAACGAAAATAAGCAACTGACGATCAGGTCTTTTCTTTTTATACGCCCACATGGAAATGTGGACATACTTTGTCGTCGCCCCTGTCCGTCCGTCCGTCGTCCGTCCTTCCACATTTCATGTATGTAGGTCCTACGATAGAGAATACAGCTTTAATCTGATCTTGATGAAACTGTGTATGCATGTATATATTGATGAGATCTCGGTCATGTTCGAAATTGGTAGTAATCGGATGAACGGCTTCAAAGTTATTGCCCTTGTAAAAACGCGGGATGCAATTTTTATCTGATCTTGATGAAAATTAGTATGCATGTATATGTTGTTAAGATCTCGATCAAGTAAGAAATTGGTAATAATAGGTTGAAAGGTTTCAGAGTTATTGCCCTTGACTTAGTAAAAACGCTTGTATACATAAAGGCTAAATTTTTTATCCGATCTTGATGAAACTTAGTATGCTTGCAGATATTGATAAGACCTCAGTCAAGTTGAAAATTGGTAATAATCTGATGAATGATTTCAGGGTTAGTTCCCTTCACTTAGTAGAAACACGCCAAAGTTGGCTTGTTTGAATTTGGTCATAATCGGATGAATGGTTTTAGAGTTATTGCCCTTGACTTTGTTAAAACGCTTCAAATTTGGCTTGTAGTCCTGATACAGAGTGCAGTTTAAAGATTTTGGCCAATGGACTTAAAACCTAAACCATCAAGTTTTCATCGGAAACACGCAAAAATACGATAAGAAAAATTAAAGATATAAACAACAAATGTTAATGATCCTTTCTATCCTAGCCAAACCTCTTGGCATTAGATTAATGAGACTTTTCGCGCGTTCCAAAATCGCCTTGCCGGCTGAGGTAGGCTTATTAAATATTTCTTAGCTCCTGCAGTTTTTGTTTGCTTCCTATAGAGGTCCTGTTTTAGATATATTTTCATGTAGCCTAAATGATTTACAACGTTTTGATAATAAAAATTTTGAAATATACTGCCACTTTGACCACTTTTTATTCCTTTTCTCTTAGATATTTCATTAACCATTAGGCCTAGTTGACCAGACGACTGTTATTTGTCAATTGTGATAAAATTTGAAGCAACACCGTTCACGACAGGTATAGAACTAAGTAATTTCCTTTTTGAGATTAATACAGCCTATATTTGTATAATGGGTCGATTGCACGGGTCAAAGCGTCCGCATATGATCAGTATGGTAGCATCCTGTTCGATAACTTCAAAATGGTTCTCAGTGCAAATATTTATGAAATGCAGTATTTAGTTTTTAACAACGAACAAAGTTTTTATTTGTTAAAAGAAATTTTAATACAAAATTAATAATAATTCATGTTGCATTATGTTTATTGAAAAATATTATTATTCGTTTTTTAAATTATACTGGTATAGTATTTTAAGACACCAAGGAGACGGCGCTGAATTCAAGATGGCAGCCTCCATGAGAAACACGATTTTACTTTATTAAGCGCATTTGTTTTGACGCAGATGCTATTATAACTTTATTTGACTTTTCAACAATGATCACCTGCAGAAAAACACACGTAACATGGTGTGTTCTACGCCATATCAGATCTTTGTATTCAACTGTGAATGACAATCACAGCATAGTGAGCCTGTTTTCGAAAACAGGGAACTGGGTAAATAATAAATTATATTGTCATTGACGTCATTGACCATATTATGGTTTGGATAAATTAATTACGTAATACATGCATTTTGTTAGCAGTGATTCTAAGTGGCGGAACCAGGGTGTTCAGTCAACCTGTTTACATGTCAACTCGTCTACAGTTAACTCTTCCACAACATCGAGTTAACCTGTCAACAACTCGAGTCAACCTGTCTACTCAAATCATAAACACGGGGACAAGTGTCTAATCTATGCGTCTAATTTAATGAGGCTTATGTGATAAAGCATGTGGTTTTAGTGGAATTGCTTTTATCTTGATTTTACCAATTCCATTTTGATCTACAAATATGGGATAATTGTTTGCATAATCTACTTGAAGGTTCATCTAACTCATTATTTGACTGATTATTGATCTCAATATGAATTACATTGCAAACATTTTCCTCAATTCCAGGCTACAGAATTGAACAATGATGTTAGAATAGAGATTGAAAATCATTGGAAACCTCAACTGAAAGAACATGACATTAAATACAGATCATTACAGACATCAGATAAGGTAAATCTACTGTAGATATGACAGGTTTACCAAATATTCTTTATACGAAAAAATCTGCTCTTGAGTTACAATAACTTATGTATTGGATACAACAGAGTAGTGGGTTTTCATGTTATATAAATTCCTGCAGGGAATGTTTTTAAGTATCAGAAATTTTATATATAATTTCCTTGGGATCTTATATATAGGATTTTCTATGAGATATTTTATGAGATATAAAATCCAGCCAGAACAATAAGATGACGTCACAGGAGGTTTATAAGTTTAGAAAATGAAGTGCTGGTTTGTCAAAACGGCATGTTCAAGCAATAAAGAGTAAATGTGCTGCAGATAGTCATGTTTTTTGCTAATAGATTAAAATATAGATCTTAATATTTTATGCCATGTACTTTTTGCAGGTTACTAGTCCTGCCATCAATGACCTGACCAAATTCTTCATCAAATCATATTTGTTTCCTCAAAAATTTAATGCTAAACAATCAAAAAACAGTCCTATAGGAATTTACAAGAATGCACAATGACCAATAATAGGAGAAGTCTTGAAACATCTATATTTTACAAGGATTTACAAAGGTTCTTTTCTGCCAGCAGGTTCTTGGCCAAACCTCTTGGCATTGATTTTTCTAGGATTATTCATACCCATTTACAGCTGGGTCAACTAGAATTATGAGTGAACGTAACTTATTATGAGTGAGATTAGAACTCACAGCCACCATTTGCTTGACATAACCAAGCAAATGGCGTCCTTTGAAGAACCAATGCTCTTACCATCTGTGCTATAGAACCCCATATTTGATTGATATTTGATTTGTTTATTTTAGTCAGAGAAAGAAAAGTTTTATGTGTTATCTATGTTCCCCTACCCTAGTGGTAGTTTACACATGGGACATGTACGTGTCTATACTATTAGTGATGCAATGGCTAGATTCAATAGATTGGGAGGAAAGGAGGTAAGGCTCTCTATATAAAACATGTTTGCAAGCAATGCTTATTCCAGATCTATTTAGATGGTGTTATGTATCGATACTTGACAATATCAAGTATTTGTTCAAACTTTTCACATATACTAGACCTCATCCAAATGTTAAAACAGTTCGTTTCTTAAATGTAAGTGTGACAGCTGTAAGGTTATCGGCAATAAATTACTAGTAAAATTATTCTGTTATCTGAATTTATTCCGCAGTAAATAATCATTGAAGCTTTGAAGATAAAGAGCTACATTTTGTCTTTTACCCCATAATGCAATATCTATCGTATCATAGCTCCTGTATCGTGTTATGTATTGTATCGTGACATATTTGGTAATACCCAATGGACGTATCAATATTTGTTGTTCCTTTTCTCTAGGTGATTCATCCCATGGGTTGGGATGCTTTTGGTCTTCCAGCAGAGAATGCTGCTATTGAGAGAGGTGAAATACCCCAAGACTGGACAAAGAAGTATGTTTACTGAATTTCCACCATTCCATAACTAGGTTATTACGAATCTAAATAAAATCAAATTGTTTTTATTCTTCTGATTTTTATTATTCTCCATTGTACAATAGAGACAAAGAAAAATATCAAAAAAAAAAGAAAGTAAATTGTGATCTTATTTTTAGACATGTTACCTAAGTTACAGTAGGCTGATATTTTAATATTTTTTGAAAAGAAAAATTTTGTCAGGTTTTGTAACTTACGTTGTTTGTCATTACTATCAAGGATATCAATTTATTACTGCAATGATTAAGTGAAGAACTACCCTCTTTCTTTGCCTTACTCAATATCATCGATATATACAGGTAGCCGCAATGGCTCAGTGAGGTACACGCTTGATTGCTAACCTTGTTGAAGGTGCAATCAGTGGAAAAAAGTGTCTAGACATTCAGATAGAACAATAAACCAAGGCCCTGTGTACGTTAATGAAAACGAGTAGATTTATTCCTATGTCCTGACAAAAATTTACGTCATTGCACACTTCATGGCAATGGCATTGCCAGTCTTAATTAGCCCAATTAGGTACAGAAGAGAAGGACGTAACTCGTTCATTTTTTATTGTGAATGCTCTCTTATCAGTTGTTTCTTAATTCAATTAACCCTTGCAGATAAGAATGTGTAAATAGTTGAAATAGACTTGAAGAAATTACTGAATAGATTGGAAATGAAATTTAGAATTTGTTCCACTAAGCACTTGTTGGTGGTATCAGGGCAGTAAATGTTTTATTTTCAAGTGTATCTTAATACAAATTAAATTTTATTTTATGAAGAAATATTGAAAGTATGAAGAAACAACTAGAAGATTTGTGCTGTAGTTTTGATTGGGACAGAGTAAGTACTTAAGTGCTTTTCTTTTTAAAGGGATTGTTAAGGGTTTTTTTTAGATCTTATGTGTATGGGTGAAAACTAATAACATCAATTGCACCATTTCAATTTTCTGTCAGACGTTTGTTTTTGTTTTTCCTGCAATTCCACAAATAATAGGAGTTCGAATGACATCACTAATTGCAAAATTTATCTGTATCACCTTTAGGATTAGTGACGTCATCAAACATCAAACATCAAACATTAAGTCTGACTGAAAAATTGGAAAGGTGCAAATTGATGCAATAAGCATCCCTGATATACATCCAAATTTAGGAAAATCTCTTTAAGTCTCAAAGATGCTCTACAATATCTCAGTTCTTTTTTCTTGTATGGTTTCTATTTATGAAATTTTGAGAATTATAAATTTTTGAATTTAATTTGACTGTATCTACAGGAGCTGGCCACATGTGATCCTAAATATTATAAATGGACGCAGTATATATTTCTAAAAATGTTTGAAGCTGGTTTGGTTTATAGAAAACAGGTATTGTAGACTTTTATCTGTACCGATTGTCTTTTTATGAACCCACATGAATATGTTTAATAATGTTGCCCCCGTAAAGTCCTTATGTGATAGAAGCAAATTTTGCGGAGGTTACGTCATAAAACACTTAGTTTTAGCAAAATTGCAGAAACCAAAGACGTCTGATTGACAATTGGAATGGTGCAAATTGATGCTATCAGTGTCCCTGATACGCATACAAATTTAAGGAAACCTCTTTAAAATCCCTTTAAGATGGTAAAATCTGCCTCTGTACCCCACATATGAATAATTTTAATTCCTCACTGGGAATCCTACCTTTTGTGAACAGAGTTTTCCTGTGATTGATCTTTCATATAAGATACATGTTGATGATGATAATGCACATAATGCCAAACAAAATTTGCCTGGCAACAAGATTTACTATCAAGTTGTATGATCATCCAATTTTTTTTTATTATGATTCAAGTTAAGACATAGTTATTTTCTTGATTGGTATATTAATAATATAGTTTCTAGTGGGATGTTCTTGTTATTGAAGTTTATATCAAGATTTGTTCTGGGAACTTACATTCTTGTTTATACTGGTACAACTTGAATAGTAAATATGATACTTAGTGGGTATATATCTGAAACATGTGTATTTCTGTATCTTGTTTGTTTCAACTTGTTCTCATGTGAATTCCTCGTTGCTCAACTTATCCATGACATATTCAAAAACCAAATTTGAGCAGATTATTAGCAAAATTTCCCCTTTTGCCCACTGATTTAATTCTTGTGAACAATCAGGGCCTTACATTCCATTTCCTGTATCACTTCACAGCTTTCTTCAGTCAAAAATTATCAGGAGCATTTAGGTGCTTCAACCAAGTAATAAACTCAAAATCAGTCATCAGTCATTATTTTTCTGGGAGCTGGGGATGTTTGCTCACTAACCTGAAGGTCCAGGGTTCGATCTCGGCATAGGTTGAGATGATAACTTCGGATTTGGCAACTCAGTAACCTCCTGTCAGTGATGCAGGTAAGAGGGTCTGGCATAGAAAAAGTGTTTAGTCGTTCGGCTGTGCACATTATAGACCCAGGACAGTTGAAATTTTCAACTTGAAAATCAAAATAGAGTTGGCTAATGCAGGAGCTCTGGCAAAATTTCCATCAGTGCACACTGCATGCCATTGCTCATCTTCATTAGCCCAATTAGGTGCAGAGGAGTAGAATCTAAAACTAAATTCATTTCATTATTTTCCTATCCTCATTTGTCTTTCCATGTTTTTAGTTAGAAGCTCTGCATGTTGATGATGATAATGCTCATAATGCCAAACAAAATTTGCTTGGCAACAAGATTTACTATCAAGTTGTAAGATCATCCAATTTTCTTTTGATTATGATTCAAGTTAAGACATAGTTATTTTCTTGATTGGTATATTAGTAATATAGTTTCCAGTGGGATGTTCTTGTTATTGAAGTTTATATCAAGATTTATTGTGGAAACTAACAGATCTATATAAAATTTGACAACTTGAATAGTTAATATGATGTTTAGTGGGCATATATCTGAAACTTGTATTCTTCTTTTCCTTGAATATTTCAAAGTAATCACCAAGTACCTATCGATGCTGAATTACGTCCATATTTTAAATTTTATTAGTTCTATTTTGAAAAGAAGTGATTTGATTTATTAAAAATGCTATATTTCAAATATCATTTCTGCAAGTTATGGTTTCAATAAAGCCAAACCTTTCTTGCTGTCCATTTGCTGAAAATATTTTTACCATATTGTTCTTTAAAGGGTAAGTCCACCATTTTTGGAGATTGTTTTGGGTCTTGTATATATGTAAATAATCTTCAGAAATACCATAATTCCTCCAAAAAAAATCTAACTAGAAATTTCACTTTGTAATTCTACACGTCTTTACGAGCTGTGAACACTATTATTGATTAGCTTAGCTGAAATTCTCGTTTCTAAGATTAACTTTCGATTGGTCAAACAGATTGCGAAGCAAGATTTCATCCTGGTGATGGTTGCCCCCTGCCAATATCCTGATACAAACAAAACTGTTAGTGGCTGTATGTTACCATGGTGGGCAACTATCTTAATTTAGTTAGATATCCTTCACAAATTTGATATTTTTATACACACTGATAAAGATTGGTTGAGATTTAGGTAATTTTCAAACTCATGATAAAGTTAGAGCAACAGGGACTAAAAAATCATTAAAAGTCATTACAATTAGACTCTGCTCTTGTTTTTTTGTATCAATAACCTTTGACCTGACCTGCTTTAACCAAAAAGCTAACAAAAACAGGAAAGTTTGGTCTGATTTTAATGAATGGCCAATGAACAACGTAAAGTTTCAAATGTCAATGATGAATGATGTAAAAGGTTTGAGAAGTCTAAATACACAAGTCTATTTGGATACAACTTAAATGGTTGTCTGTTGTCAGAATATATATGTTGTCATATTCTAAGTTACAATATTAACATTATAGACAATATGATACAATATCTAGATCATAGAATAACTGATGATTTTCAAAGTACTAAAATTGTCTTCTTCTAATGATCAACATTTGAAATTACTTAAACCATTTAAACTGGTACTAAATATCTTGTGATGACTTCATTGATTACCCTTGATTTCTGAGACATTTATTCCTTTTCATGCTGCATTCCATTTCTTTCAAAATTCAATGACACCACTTAACCATTCTGATAACAATGCATATACTGACAAGCTATTATTTTATTTTAATCCCAAGGCTGAAGTTAACTGGGACCCCATTGATCAAACTGTACTAGCTGATGAACAGATTAATGAAGAGGGGTTGTCATGGCGATCTGGTGCAAAAGTGGAAAAGAGAAATTTACCACAGTGGTACATTCAGACTACCAAATATGCTAAGGTATGAATCAAACTTTTATGTAGCTTATCCTTTCAATGGCTCAGGGTACCTTATTCTTGAAAATTTTACAATCAAATTTAGTGATTGACCAATCAGATGTCCGAAACACTAAAATGATTTGTGGTCAATATTTATTCGCTTATAAGTGCAGTTTCTTGTTATATCTACAGAAGAAAGGAATAGAACTGGTTCCTTAATTATTATTCTTGATTATTCAAAGGGGAATTTACAATCCTTGTAAGCATGAGAATAGTCAGGTTGTGAACTGGTTTTTCAGATTTGCAGATTCATGGCTTGTTTGAATGCTTTGCCTTCATGTTTCAGTCATTGATAGATGGTTTAAGTGAAGTAAATGCTGATCTATGGGGAGATGTTATTTCTAATCAGAAGAACTGGATTGGTAAATTAGCATATCCTATTCATTTTAAATATAAGGTATGTTTATAACATAGCTCATATTAGGAACTTAAAGTCTTAAAATCTTGTGCTCAATTTCTTTCTGAAGGTTAATTTATATATATTCCTCGTGTACAGATTGAAATTCCATTTAATGAACTAATGAAATTATAATGCTCTTAGAATTTCTTATCAAAGAAAGATTTGCCAGTTTTAAGAGAATTGGAATATCAGCCTTAAAATAGTACGGATAGTCTAAGAATGACTTTGTGTTGATGAAAATATAAACATGGGTACACATTATTTTGTCAAATTTAGTTGAAATTTCTAGAGAAATTTGTTTCTTTTCAATGTAATCAAAGACATTCTAAGACTAACAGTAATATCTGATATTCCAATTCTCTTGAAAAATAGAGAACAATTCAAAAAACCCTTTTGCCTTACTCAGGCAATAATTATTCATAAAAACCACTCATTGTTGTTGGTCAACCAGTCAGTGTTTGAATAATCTTGATAGTTGCTGGAAGTAGTTGTGTTCTTGAAAGTTACTTGATTTGAGGACCAATTTTAGGTGAATGGTCAAGTACAAGAAGACTGTCTAACTGTAAAGATGACTCATTTAGAATATATCTATGGAATATCTCATATTAACATTACTTCTCTACATCCATTGTTTCAAATATATCAGGTAAGTTCTTTACTTTATACATTGTTATTTGAAGAGGAAAAAACTATTTGTAGAATGAATCTTGAGATTGGAAGGGGAAATCAGGTTAGGAAAGGGAAATGTGGACGTATATTGTCGTCGCCCCTGTCCGTCGGTCCGTCAACATTTCTTGTGAACACAATAGAGACTACAGTTTTTAACTGATATTAATGAAATTTAGTATGATCATTTATATTGATAAGATCTTGGTCAAGTTGGGATCTGAAGATCTTTCGATGAACGGTTTTTGAGTTATTGCCCTTGACTTCAGGAAAACGCGTCAAAATTTGTTTGTGAACACATTGGACTACAGTTTTTAATTGATTTTATTGAAACATTGTTTTATCATGTATATTGATCAGATAATTTGATGTATTTGGGTTATTGATATTGATTTTTAAAAATTTTGTTGAATTTCTCAGCATAAATAACTGGCAGTATATATATATATTATTGAATTCAAACTATTTAAATTTCTTTATTGTCAGAAAATTCATACTTTAGTCACTAAAGAATGTTTTATCATTTCTGACAGCTGCCAGTAGGCGTATGTTACCTTGCCTGACAAGCTATCTTGTTTATTTATAGGATAAAGGCTGTGATATATCATCAGGTATGTATTGAATATACTGTATATTATTACAATCTACAGCTTGTAACAATGAAACTCTTTAGAGTTTGGACATTGGGTAACTTTTTATGATAATTTAATGTAATATAATAATACCTTGCCTATGGTGTTTTGATACCTAAAACCCAGATACTTCTATAACTATCAATTATATGCATAAATTTGTAAGATCAAAAATTTGAATATTGATGAGACCACACTATTTTAATCATTATTTAATGACTGTATGTATATATAGCATCAACTTTTAATGATCTTTGATTAATGCCAATGATATTGTAGACTGTATTACTGCTGTTCATCCATTAACTGATAGTGATATTCCTGTCTATTATACTGAGCAATCTATACAATTAGATAATACTGCTGCTAGACAAGATTCTCATGTTGGTAAGATAACAGAATTTTCTATTCATATTACTTCTATATAACTCATTATGCTGGTTAGATAACAGAATTTTCTATTTATACTACTCTGAACTCTATATAACTCACGTGCTGGTAAGATAACAGAATTTTCTATTCATATTACTCTGAACTCTATATAACTCATTATACTGGTTAGATAACAGAATTTTCTATTCATAGTAATTCTATATAACTCATTATGCTGGTAAGCTAACAGAATTTTCTATTTATATTACTCTGAACTCTATAAGACTCACATGCTGCTCAGATATCAGAATTTTCTATTCATATTACTCTGAACTCTATATAATTCATTATGCTGGTAAGATAACAGAATTTTCTGTTGATATTACTCTGAACTCTATATATTGCATGCTGATAAGATAACAGAATTTTCTGATTGATAATACTATGAACTCTATATATTGCATGCTGGTAATATGACAGAGGTCTAAATTCATATTACTCTGAAATCTTTTGTGAGGTACCAAATGATAAAATCTTCAAGACTAACATTTCTTATCCTTAATTGTTTTGGACCAAGTATCAATCACAATTGTCAAATGCAGATGTCCTTATCAACACTGCATTTTGGTTAAAAAACAAAAAAGAAGTGTTAGTTCAGACAGATCAATCATTGACGTAATCCTATCAGTTAAAGTGCTAGATAGATGATTGAAAATAATATTGTCTACAGTTAATTTGTATACATTTTTAAAAAAATTGAAATCTTTATATATATAGTAAGCTTATATGTATATGTTTAATTGTAGCAATACCAAGTATCAATAGCAGTGATCAATTAGAAGCTGACAGATTAGGTCTATCATGGATTGATGTAATAGACAGTAAAGCTAAAATTGTCAACTCAAATCAGGTAACTTTTAAAATGGTCCCTAAAAAAAAATGAAGCCGATTCTATATTCTTGAATTAAAGAAAAGGAAAAAATTCCTGAGCAATGGTTATCTCCATGGAAGCATGAACATTTTTTGAAGTGAAACACAATATTTTTGGCTATGATGAAAATCATTGCAAAGATCTGTGGCCAAGGATCACTTAAAATGCAAGTTGTTCTCCTGAATCGTTTTTTCTTTCTTATGGACAGCTGTTAAAGTGATGCCATCTTGCAACACTTGCTTTCAGATTTCTGGATTAAAGTCAGAAGAAGCCTGCCATGAAGTTTTACAAATGTTACAGGTAGGCCTAATAGTAATAAAATTTCTCTTTATGTGAACTCTCCAAATAGAATGTTGTCTTGCCATGTGTTCAATAACTGTAATAAACAGAACCTAATGTTCTAATAGGGGTTGGCTTTTAAAGGATTGATTGGATTCAGAGATAAAACACACTCAATGAAGTTATGACCTCCATCTTTATTCAGGCTAGCCACCTATTCCCTCAAGGGGGATAACTCTTTATACAGACTTGATACTTAAAGACCACAATATTATAGATCATGATAATAGAATATGACCAAAATTCTTTATAAGAAATAAAATTCAACTATATAAATTGTCTTTTTGACTGAAAATGTTTCTTTTTGTAGAGCGATTTTCTTACTGAATAAATTTCTATTGAAACTAGAACATAATTTTGAACAAATAAAATTTCTTTATATGCCCACATCTCTCTATGTGGATGTATATTGTCGACACCCCTGTCCATCCTTCGGTCTGTCCGTCAACATTTGCTTGTAAACGCTCTCAAAACTAGATTTTTTTAATGGAATCAAATGAAATTCGGTATGTGTATACATATTCATAAAACGAAGATCACGTTCGAATTTGAGCTATTTTTGACCGTTAAAAGCAGAGTTATTGCCCTTGCCCCAAAATCTTGAATATATGTATATGGCTGTGGTCCACTATCTTTTGAAGTTTGGTTCCTTATGGGTTGGTGTAAATTTCCATTTGAAAATATGAATGTATTTTTAGGTTTAAATTTCCATTTGACAGTTTTATTAGATCTAGACATGTATTTGACAACTTGTATTTGGCTGTCAATTTTCATTTTGAATGGCATGACTAACCTAGTGTTTTATTGGTAGGAAAAGAAAATGTTAGGAGAAGTTACTAGTAGTAGACTAACAGATTGGTTAATATCTAGACAACGGTACTGGGGTACACCCATACCTATTATTCATTGTCCAAAATGTCAGGTAAGTGCTTCAGACTTATTAATCTGTATTACTCTCCAAATCAGTTCTAAATTTCTTATTGAATAGCATTCTGTCTAACTGAGCTGTTGATATACCTATAACAGTTATCTGAGGCTTTGAACAGCTTTATAGCTTTTTGACACATGGTTTGGAACAGGTGTAGGCTATTTTAAAAGTAAATGTAGGCACTTTTGGATCATGGAGATGATTCTCTGCAGAAGTGTGCACAATTTGTGATGATAGGGATCTTATTCTTCAAAATGTTATCCAGACATTGCATATTGCTTAAGTATAAAAGGAGAGGTTGCCCAATCCTATTATGTTAATAAATATTGTTTATACAAAAAAAAAAATGTATAAAATTAATTTTGTCTCACTTGTGGCTTTCTTTTAGTTATTGCTTATAATAAATACATGTCTGACTGAATCGACAGAAATTACATCTTATAACTCAAAGACAATGTGACATTTCAAATTTTACCATTCTCGCCCAAACTATAAGTGAATAGTTTGCAATGACTGGAAATTGGAAGTAACTTTACTTTAAATGTTTATTATATTATAGTATGTGCCAGTGAATATAGAAGATCTGCCGGTAGAATTACCTAGAGTCAAACAATTATCTAATAAAGGCTCTTCACCATTATCACAAATAGAAGAATGGGTCAACTGTCAGTGTCCAAAGTAAGTCATCCATTAATACATGTTAAGAATAGTTCTGTTTCTCAACCTTTTGGAAGTTTATGCTGATATCCATCACCAAATGGAACCAAAAGGCTCATTGATCGACAAAGGTTCCAGTTAGTCAAATATCAAGGCCTAGGTTATTACCAAATATTTATTGTAATATTTTATTAAAATCTTCTCTTGTAACCAGGGTTCGGAAGCCATGAAAGGAACCACCTGAAATATGTCTGATGAAGGTTATTTATGACTTGAATATAATACAGTGTTTAAAATGTATTGAATGTATTGAATGACCAACAGCTTGCTATATGTACCTTCTAATATTATATACAATATTTTCAGATGTGTTGGAGATGCTAAAAGAGAAACTGATACAATGGATACATTTGTTGATTCTTCATGGTATTATTTACGATATTTAGATGTTAACAATCAACAATTACCAGTCAGTAAACAACTAGCTGATCAGTATTTACCTGTTGATTTATATATAGGTGGTAAAGAACATGGTAGGTACAGTAATCACTTGTAAAAAGAAGAACATTTTTTTTATACGCCCACACGTTAGTATGGGCATATATTGTAGTTGCCCCTGTTTTACAGATAACATTTAGCTCTTTATCAAGCTGCTGGTGGGCGTATTCGCTTGTGAGACTTTCCTTACTGATCTAGAGGGTAAAAACTATTTATATAGTATATAAATGATCTTAAACAGATGCTTGTGTAATATGAAGTTTATGAAATGAGTTGCCAGATTTAGTAATGAATATTTAATCTGGCAACTCATTTCATAAATTGCTTAAGACATAAGAAAACACAGATTTTCCTTAAATTCCTTGTTCTTTTCCATGAAGGACATCCATTTTGAGGTCAGTCTTTTTACATCTTTCTACAAAATGGCCTTGCGTGTGACAAAAAAAGATCTTGGTAAAAACAATCATGTGATTACTAAATTGAAACATTTAGTCAATTTATGTTATTCGGACCAATTTCATGCCCTTTGCATTCAATTCCAACCGATTCATCAACTTCAAGAATGTTCTGTTTACACGGAACATAAATACATGATCTAATTTGCATAATCATTAACCATTGCCACAAGTTTTTTTTATATTTATGAACCCATCTTTTGTACTTGCTTTAATTTGGCTAGTCAGGCATCAAGGTGATAATTCTTACATTCTTTCAAGGAATAGTGATTCAAATAGTAAAAAGTGTGAAAAACACTGTGAATCAATCCCATCATGTTAGAACTTGACAATTGTGTAAAAACTTTGATAAGTTATGACCAATGTTGTTTAAAGTACATTCAATGCCAAATAAATTGAGCAAAATTTTTTTTCAGCTGTCTTACATCTGTATTTTGCAAGATTTTTTAACCATTTCCTTAACGATATTGGTATTTTGAAACATAGAGAACCATTTATTGACCTTTTGACCCAGGGTATGGTGTTAGGTCAAAGTTGCCAGGTCAAGTCAACAGGTCAATATGTTCCTGCAGATCAGGTAAACATTAAAGGTAAGTTCATCTTGATATGTTGTTTTTCACAATAGGCTGTTATTCTGGTCGAAAGGCTTTGTGGAAACTGTGGTGGCTCAGTGAGTTAGACACTTGTTCGCTAACCTGAAGGTCCAGGGTTCAATCCTGACATAGGCTGAGATATGTACCTTCGGATTTTTTTCCCTCTGTCAGTGATGCAGGTCGGAGGAAATGATTTGGAAAAAACTTGGGGATGGACAATAAAGGCTGTGATTGTTTAAGATCCGTCAGTTGGAAATTAAAAAGAGCAGGCTAATAATGATGCCCTGGCAAAATTTCCCTCATAGCACACTGCATGGAGTTGTCCGTCTGGTGCAGAAAAGTAGGACGTAAAACTCCACTTCATTTCTAAGGCTTTGTGATATTGATTGTCGTGGATATTTAGTCTCTGGTAGTATATTCCATTGATATATTGAAATATGGTTCTTCGTTTCATTGAATGATATTGTTGTTGAAAATGTTACTCCTCATTCAATTTGTCTTTTCATCAATATCATTAACAAGAGGTATATAGTTATCATGAAAATGAACTCTTTCAAACATTTAAGCACTATTTAAGGCCGTGTTATTTAACCTCAGTGAGATCCTACCTCCCCATAACAATTCTTCCAAATCTATTCCCCCCCTAAAATAGATCATTTTAAAAAAAAATGTATTTAACAATTAACCATGAATGGATATAAAATCATACTCTGTATCGAGTTGAATGTGACCCTTGGGTTGAAAGTTCTTGCACGATTTTCTGTATGAATGATGTAAATTTCAGTGGTACATCACCATGCTCATTTATCTTCAATGAACTACGTTTCATTATTCGCTCATCATAAACCGTGCTGAACTTGCACTCCAACAAATATGTGGTAGGAAATGGCAGCAATAAATTCCTCCCCAGCCTTCCCACCCCCCTCGGCAATAATTCTTCCCCTTGGTCTTCCAATTCCTGCTAAGATAGGAATTTTCCCCGGTTGAGAAGCACTTATATAAGGAATGTTTGTTTTCCTACGGCTTCATTTTGTCCATATAAATTATTCTACATGAAATCTAGAAAAAGAAATAGCATCACCGTAGGAAACTATAGGTTGTTACATAATTGCTTGAACTCTATGTCTTTCAGTATAAATGTACTATTAAATATAATCTTATTTCACTAGGTAATGGTGGTGTAGAAAAGGCTACTGGAGAACCTGTAGAGTTACAATGGGAAAAAATGAGTAAATCCAAATATAATGGTGTTGATCCACAGGTAATGTTATATTGTTATATGGATCATGTGATTTTTGCATACCAGTACTTACAGGGATTATAAAGAAGTTTTCTAAATTTTTTATGTGTATTGGGACATTGATAGCATCAATTTGCACCATTCCAATTTTAAATCAGATGTCTGTGGTTCCAGCAATTATACTTAAAACTAAATGTTTGATGACGTCACTAATCGCAATTTAGTGTCATTTGCAATAAGTGACATCATCAAACACTTAGATTTTAGTGGAATTGCAAGAACCACTCTGATTGAAAATTGAAATGGTGCAAATTCATGTTATCAGTGTCCCTGAAGGATTTAGAAAATGCTTTTTTATTCATTTTCTTTAGATTACAATTTAGTTGCTAGGTATTTTAAGAAGTGTCTACAGATATTACATTTCTTGGCAAGTTGTTTCTTTATATATCGATAAATTCATTAAGTGCAATTTAAACATTTTGTTTTTTAAAGGATGTAATTAAAGAATATGGAGTGGACCCAACAAGATTATGTATACTATCTAGTGTATCCCCAATGTCAAATAGATATTGGTCAGAAAAAGGTCAGTTAGTCTTTTGTAAACGGATTGTAAAGAGGTTTTCTAAATTTGATATGCCATCTTCATTAGACTACATGGTGCAGAAAAGTAGGACGTAAAACTCCATTCATTTCATTTCATTTCATTTCTGAATTTTATATGTGTATTGGGGACACATTTTCAGCTTTCCAATTTTTAATCAAACGTCTGTGGTTCTTGCAATTCCACAAAAACTAAGTGTTTGCTCATGTCACTAATTGCGAAGCAAATTTTGAGTTTAGTGACATCATCAAAAATTTAGCTTTTGTAAAATTGTTGAATCCACAGACGTCTGATTGAAAATTGGAATGCTGAAAATTGATGCTATCAGTGTCCCTGATACACATATAAAATTCAGAAAACCTATTATAATTAATTATATGCAATAAGAACATAATGATATGATTAAGAGTACATGATAATTCATTAAAAACACCAATTAATCAAAAAGTTTGCTTAATTTGACAATTAAAAAATAAGGAAACCCATCTTTAACTAAACTGATATATAACTAAATTTATTTCATATCCCAAACTTGAAAGTGAAAAAAGGTTCCATCAAAAATGGATATATATTTTTGGTTCAATGGATAAATTATATAAAAAATACTCAAATATTCATTGTACAATAGTAAGAATAAAGAATGATATAAACATTCACATGTAAGGGGAAGCCAATTTTCAAGTGATATACTGGAAACCTTATTTTAGTATATAAGTGTCCTTATGTGCATTGAATGAGTCACACTTCCAAACTCAGCGTTACTGCTTGCAAGATACATATATCATATCACGAGGTCTGTATCAATACTTGACGATACCTCTTAATTTCATAACAAAACCAAAAAAGTGGGGATTTTTTATAAGTTGGTGAATGGAATCACAAATTTTTTTCACTTGAATGAAATTGTTGGCAACTATTTATGAGCTAACAGCTCAACTACATTTCCAAATATCACAGTTATAAAGTTATGAATTAATATATATATAAAAACTTTGAAGATAAAATGTTAATTTTTATCCCATTACCCCTTATCGTGATATGTATTGTATCTTGACCCTTGTATCACAATACTTATTTTATTGTGGCATGATCGGCATTACCCAGCACCACTTGGAGTACAATCTCAATAAGTCTTGTGATAAGACTAAAACTTTTAGAAATTCTTTTATAAAATAACAGAATAAAGCACCACATTATTTTTTCATATATAACTTAATGATTTTGTCAGTGCTTTTTAAATGATATTTTCCCCAATATTTTAGAATATAAAGGAATATTGAAATGGCAGTATAGAATCTGGGTGTTGATAGGAGATTATATGAAATATAGTAAACAAGACTACACTACATCAACCTCAGATTTAATCCATTGGAATCAAGAACTATTTGAAGCCAGAAATTCATCTGTTCATGAGGTAAGTTAAATTTAAAGAATATGTAGCATCTGTGTAAATGTAAATATTGAAAATGAATTATTTTGTAATGTTTGAGAGGTTTTGAAGCTAGTTAGAGTGTTGGTTCTCTATGATATTTGCTAGGTTATATTGAACAAATGGTAGTTTTGGGTTCTAATCTTGGTTAGCGTGTGAAAGTAATGACCTCACTCATGATTCCAGTCAACCCATTTGTAAATTCCATTGGATAATCTGAGAAAGATCAACATCAAGAGGTTTGGCTAAGGATTAGCTTGTAGAAAAAGAGGCTTTGGGTACCTAAGTTGTTATCTTTATGAAATATAGTTGTTTCTTTCATAAATAATTTTAGATATTAACATTTCCCAACTTTAAAAGGCAAGTGTGGTTACTCATTGATTTAACCCTCATGTGGCTCAAAAACTATGGTGTTTAGGTATTTAGTATCAATAAATCAAATCTTCAATACTATTTGCACTTTACCATGTAAATACTAATTTTGGTTTAACCTTCATATGTGATGTTTTTGATGGGTTCAACAGCCATAATTAGAGTTAATATTTGTATATGTTCATAGGGTAATAATTGCATGTGCCATGGCAAAGAAAAGAATTAGTTTATAAATGTTTTGTAGGTCACATATAAATTAGAAAGAGTTGCTTTATAAATGTTTGTTTTGTAGGTCACATATAAAATGAGAAAGAGCTACTTTATAAATGTTTTGGTAACATATCAAATGAGAAAGAGTTATATTATAAATGATTAGTAGGTTACATATCAAATGAGAAAGAGTTATATTATAAATGTTTTGTAGGTAACATATCAAATGAGAAAGAGTTATATTATAAATGTTTAGTAGGTTACATATCAAATGAGAAAGAGTTATATTATAAATGTTTAGTAGGTTACATATCAAATGAGAAAGAGTTATATTATAAATGTTTTGTAGGTTACATATCAAGTGAGAAAGAGCTACTTTATAAATGTTTTGTAGGTAACATATCAAATGAGAAAGAGTTATATTATAAATGTTTTGTAGGTTGTTATATTATAAATGTTTTGTTGGTTACATATCAAATGAGAATGAGTTATATTATAAATGTTTAGTAGGTTACATATCAAATGAGAATGAGTTAAATTATAAATGTTTAGTAGGTTACATATCAAATGAGAATGAGTTAAATTATAAATGTTTAGTAGGTTACATATCAAATGAGAAAGAGTTATATTATAAATGTTTTGTAGGTTGTTATATTATAAATGTTTTGTAGGTAACATATCAAATGAGAAAGAATTACATGATAAATGCTGCCATTTCAAGATTACAGAAATTTACTAACATTTTGAAGGTAAATTAAAACATCCAGATATATTGATCTGAGGAACGAATTAATTTGAGGAATGAAGCTATTTTGAATTCTGTCTGAACCTACTTCTACTCACGTAGAATGCATTTTGAACTCCAATTTGTTTTATTGACTGCTGATGTGCAAAACTCACCATTGGAGTGGTCCCTATTAGTCCAGTTAGATCAAGATGAATAGGAGGTTTAACACTGTTACCTCATTGATATTGTAGAAATGTCCACCAGGTATTATGAGAAATTGTGAAGAGTTTGAGAGATGTTTAGCTGATCTAATAATAATGTTAGCTCCATTCTCTCCTATGTTTGCTTGTGAATACTGGGCTGGTGTGTCATCTACTGTTAATTTTACACATAGTTTATACCAATGGGTAAGTTTTCATTTTTAGTGTCAAATTAAGCAAACTTTTTGATTTATTGGTGTTTCTAATAAATTATCATATATTCTTAATCATTATCTTCTTATTGCATATAGTTAACAGTTTTAACCAATCATAAATATCCACGTTTGTACCGTCTGGATAAACAAAAATTGACTTTTTGACCTTTCTTGATCGGTCACTCGTTGGAATTCTGTTGGTAATTATCTTCTAATTATGAATTAATTAAGGACACGTGAGACAATCTGGTACTTTTCCAAGTCATTTGAACCCCTGCACTTTCTTTTCATATAGGTATTAGAATTTTTATTTTCATAAGTCAAAATAAAGGAACCCATCTTTAACTGCTTTACCCATTTTAACCCCAAGCTGTTCAATAAGGCTGTAAAAATAACATTAAAGTGCCAATTTGAAGAGAAAATGATTGAAATATTAATATTTAAAATGTATGTAATAATGTTTGTAGGACAGAATTGTATTAGACCAGACATGGCCTCTAGTTGATGATAATTACCAGTATGAAATGTCAATTAAAGTAAGTCACTTTCTTTACACAGAAATGTTACTCAGTTATGAAAAGCAGTCTGTAACACTAACCAATGTAAATATCCAAATCTTATGGCGAAAAGTGTGAGATACTGCTTTGTATACGCCCACATTATAATGTGGTGATTCCAAAAAGAAAAAACAGGCAGCAATAACCAATCACAGAAGACTTTTTGATGGGATCACCAATACCACTAGTAGTACAGCGATTCATTTGATGTATGATTTATTACACATTACAATGTGGTCGTATATTGTTGTCGCCCCCATCTTTTCGTCAGTCCATCCACAATTGACTTGTGAACACAATAGAGCTTTAATATGATTTTAATTCATTTATAATGATGAGATCTTGTTCAAGTTCAAAATTGATGATATTTCTATAAACTGGTTTTGAGTTATTACCCTTGACTTAGTAAAACGCATCAAAAATTGTTTGTGAATACTGTAGAGACTATAGTTTTCATCTGATTTTAATTAAATTTGGTATATAGGAGAACACAAAACTGATTTTAATGAAATCTGGTGTGATCATCAATTACAATGAGTTCTTGGAGCGGAATTTGAGTTATTGCCCTTGACTTAGTACAAACCATCATAAGTTGTTGGCTTGTGACATGTTATGTCAGAATTTTAATAAATTTTGTGTGTTTGATTAAATCAACAATATCTTTCACAAATTAGATTTTTGGTATGATTGGAAACAGATTGGTGACTGCCTTTGATATACTTTATATCTTTTTATCAGGAAAATTCTTGCTAGGCAACCATTTGTTCACCAATAGGGACATTCATGTTTCCTTACTAAACCCAGTACATAGGAAAAACCAACATGTTTTAGTCTCAAGACCTGGGAACTAAAACATATGAAAATGATTGTTAAATGTAGCCAAATATAGCTGATGAGATGAACTATGTTGGTCATATTAGTAACAATTATGGTGAAAATAAAGCCAAACTTCTTAATGTGTTTCTTGATGATCTATGCTCACTGGTAAAGTTTCAATTGATTGGCTTAGACAAAGTTTTGGGACATATGAATACAGAAATGTCTTTATAAAATTAACTTAGGCTGAAGACTACTAATGTTTGACTAACTGCATGTTGTGGTCAGTCTCAGTCCACAAATAAAAATTTTGTAAAACGTGGTACAGATGAGCCGAATTTAAAAAAATCAATTTGTAAAAAGTTTATATTTTTTTTTCTTCAGAAAAATGAGCGAGACCAGTTCAGTATAAAACTACCTTTAGGTAGACTAAATGATTGGACCTATGAAGAAGCAGTAGTTTTAGCTCAAAGTGACCCTCAATTTATGAAACACTTTAAAAATGTGCACATTAAGCATAAATCTTTTAGAATAGAAAAGGACTATAAAGCCTGGCTCACTATGCATGTGGGAAAAGAAAAGAAGACAAGGGAAAGCGAGAATATAGCGGATGAACATTTGAATGCTCATTCTTGAATTAAGGGATTATAACTTAAAAAAGAAGAAGTTACATTTGTAAGTTTTGTGTTTTTCTAACAGTGAATAAGTAAAACGAAACAACAATTTGGGTTCACACTGATCCTCTCTATCAGATTATTCTTGGCATTAATCTTTCCCAGATTATCTTTACCATTTACACCAAAGGCAAATGGAATAATTTATGGAGTTATAACTAATTCAAGTTCATCATACTATGACATGCTGACTAAGATTGGAACCCAAGACCACAATTTTCCAATGTTTTAACCAACAATGTGTAAACCCCTCAAAACCTGTAATAAAAAAGTTTTTCTGAAAATGGTAAATGTGTGTGGAATGTACTGTCTTCTCTTAAACTTGATATAGTACACCTTATAAAACCTTCGTCTCAACCCTCTAAACAGGCTAGGGTATTCATCAATATAATTTAATACAAAATAATCTTAATAGTAAAAAAAAAATATCAACAAAAATCAAAATACAGTAACAAAATATAGGTGTTCATACATGAATTGACATAATAATGTATGTATATTATACATAGTAACAAAACATATATATTTTTGCATTTTAAATTAGCATAACTTTTGATTTTGACATACTTACTAATAGTATATGCTTCCAGCTACATGTATTTGATATAACGTAACATTTGATTTAACATAAATCCTACTTACGTCCTACTTTTCTGAACAACAAGGATGTGACATAAAAACAAATGTAGATATGCTTACATGCATTTGATATAACAGATCATTTGATTTAACATAAAAACAAATATAGATATGCTACATGTATTTGATATAACGTAACATTTGATTTACCATAAATATAGATATGCTACATGTATTTGATATAACATAACATTTGATTTAACATAAAAACACATATAGATATGCTACATGTATTTGATATAACATAACATTTGATTTAATATAAAAACAAATATAGATATGCTACATGTATTTTATATAACATAACATTTGATATAACATAAAAACAATTATAGATATGCTGCATGTATTTGATATAACATAACATTTGATTCACCATAAATATAGATATGCTACATGTATTTGATATATTAACTTAGTTACAAAACAATATACTGTCATGTATATTGCATATTTAACGATATTTATGCAGTTTTGTTATTTGATTGTGTTTAATATTAAAGTAGTAACCTCCATTTCTGAAATGAGAATGGTTATGGTTCGCAATGCAACTGTGACTAGGTTTGCGTATCTTTTCTGGTCAGGAACAGTTTGGGACTACTCATATTATAGTACAATATGTAATAACACAGATTTACTTCAGCAAAACAGTCACACTTTAAGCTTAAGATCTCCTTTAACATATTCCGTCTTCATTAGCCCACAAGGTGCAGAAGAGTAGGACGTAAAACTCCATTCATTTCATTTCTCCTTTAACATAACGTGCACACTTTAAGCATCAGATCTCCTTCAACATGACAAGCACACCTTAAGCTTCAGATCTCCTTCAACAAAACGTGCACACTTTAATCTTCAGATCTCCTTCAACATAACGTGCACACTTTAATCTTCAGATCTCCTTCAACATGACAAGCACACTTTAATCTTCAGATCTCCTTCAACATAACGTGCACACTTTAATCTTCAGATCTCCTTCAACATACCATGCACGCTTTAAGCTTCAGATCTCCTTTAGCATAACATGCACACTTCAAGTTTCGGATTTGCACTTCAACATGACAAGCACACCTGAAGCTTCACATCTCCTTCAACATAACAGGCACACTTTAAGCTTCAGATTTGTACTTCAACATAACGTGTACTCTTCAAGCAATGAACCTCAACATGACGTGCACACTTTAAGCTCTAGATCTCCTTCAACATAACGTGCACACTTTAAGCTTTAGATCTCCTTCAACATGACAAGAACACTTTAAGCTTTAGATCTCCTTCAACATAACGTGCACACTTAAAGCTTCAGATCTCCTTCAACATAACGTGCACACTTTAAGCATCAGATCTCCTTCCACATGACAAGCACACTTTAAGCTTTAGATCTCCTTCAACATGACAAGAACACTTTAAGCTTTAGATCTCCTTCAGCATAACATGCACACTGTAAGTTTCGGATTTGCACTTCAACATGACAAGCACACTTTAAAGCTTGAAATCTGTATTTCAACATGACAAGCACACATAAAGCTTGAAATCTGTATTTCAACAAGACAAGCGCACTTGAAGCTTCAGGTCTCCTTCAACATAACACGCACTCTTAAAGCTTCAGATTTGTACTGCAACCTAACGGGTACACTTCAAGCTATGATCCTCAACATGACAAGCATACATCAGCTTTAGATCAGCAACACATCAAGCACACTTTAAGAGGCAACGTGTACGGAACTGATCCAAGAATCGATGAAAACATGAAAAGTATTACATAATTGTTGCATAGTTTTTGGATCTGTCATTTTTTAAAAATGCATCCATCATCACTGCTGAAAATCTTGACATGGAGAGTTGCAAATTAAGATCTTTCGGTACTAAAATATACAACAAATCTAATATCATAAAAGACAACATTCAAAGTGGTTTGAAACTTGATATAGGTAATGGTGAGGAGAGATATGATGTCGCGGGTGACCAGGGACGGGATCAGATGGTCGTTGCTCAAAAAAATCCAAAACAGCTGGATGTTCGGACACCTGAAACGATAGAGAATGATTTATAAATGGACGAAGTCAAATCCTGCCTTCCTTAAACTATAATATCAATCGATTAAGAGTTAGTAGTCCTATATATAATAATTTCTGCGCCTTCACTGTAATCGTACCATTTTATATATTGTTTAGTGGTTTCCTAAAGTTTTATGTGTATCGGGGACACTGATGGCAACAATTATTTTCAACATTCGAATGTTCAATCTGACGTCTGTGGTTTCTGCAATTCACTAAAATTAAGTGTTTGATGGCGTCAACTAACCGCGAAGGACCTAATGGGATATAGCATATTTTGCAGTTACACATACAACAATTAGAAAACCTCTTTAATATCCCCTAGACATTACCATGGTAGGCGTACACATCGTCAACAGAAAGCTGTCAAAAAAAGTGTAATCTGAAGAGTTATCATAGCCGAACAGTTACTTCAGTAATTTTTATGAGATAAATCGGTGGAAATTGCCCAATCACAAAAATATATATATATATATATATATATATATATATATATCAAGAATTTACCAAGAATTGATGACAACCCTGATTACTTTATATATTTTACCGTGAGTAAGGCAAGTACTTGTACTTTATATATATATATAAAGTAATCAGGGTTGTCATCAATTCTTGGTAAAATGAAACACTTTTAGTCCATTTTTGAGAGAACAAATTGTTATTTAATCCATATTCAATTCATAATATCTTAGCCTGCTTTATATATCGACTGATCTCAGTCTTGTTTTATAGATTTCCGACAAAGAGCTTTTAGTATTCGAAATCTAATCCAACCTCGATTCATGTTCACAATAAATTTGACATTAAAGGGACAGCTTAGCCATCTGCTTGACCAATTCACAAGTCTCAGAAACAGGAGTTTTGTAAGTTAGCTAATCAGTTATAGAGTTCAGTGCCTATCGTCGAACTTTGCGCCTTCAAATCCACGTGTGTCCAGAATTATCCGCGTTTGAAAGTAAAAAAGACGACTCGTCTTTTTTCGAGATTCTGTCGTATATAGAAAAGACATATATATAGAAATAGAATGTGTAATTCCATGTTTGGAGTATTTTTAAAGGAATAATGCTCAGACTATTTACATATTTTCGAGACCAAAATGAACCTCTCCCTTGAAATTCTCTCGAAAGATCTCTGGTCAAAAGGAAATCGAAACAGTGTGTGGCTGTGTCCAAGCAAAATGTCACAGCATGCCTGTAATAGTTGAATCTGGTAGAGAACAATAGGACAAACATTGTTTATTTTTACAGATTTCCTAGGAAAAGGTGACATAGAAAAATTGTTGTCATTTCCGTCGACAGATTAAAGTTCAATCAACTGGTGAAAAGATATTTAAAGAGACGCTTTCGAACTTTAATCTTGGGCATGGACTTTTTAGCTAAGCCAATCAGTAATAGTGTCACAGCTCACCGACGAAATTTGAGCCTTCACATCCACGTGTGTTCAGAATTATCCGCATTTTAAAAATTTTGATTCGGGTTTTCTTGCGACACCGCCATAAAAGGCATATATAGAAAGACAAAGTTTTAGATTGAGGTATATTTATTAGAAGGGATAATGCGATTTTGTGCAGTATTAGTACTTTGAAGACTATTTACATGAATTCAAGACCCAAGTCAACCGCCGAGAAAGGCGAACTATGGCCTTAAAAAAATTATCTTCCTTTATTTGTCAATTTTTGTCTTAATTACTTTCCTTAATTATGTCCATTAGTTATTAATCTTTATATAATCAGCTATAACCCTTAGATTAATTTACTTTTCCTACATTACACAAAAACAACTCTTAGATTAATTGACTTTTCATCAATTTACAAAAAACATTTGCATTAAGGAAGTTACAGACATAACGAGGTATATACATAAAATATTATATGACCTGAGATGTTTAGAAGGCTTGTTAGTTAACTATTTCATTCATTACGAACAAAAAGTCAAACGGATCCACCAACGGTCAAGCAAATTATTTTATCAATACAAGTCCAAAGCTAGAACTGCAGCACATATCTAATAAATAAATCAAACTATAATATGTACAAGATCTCACAAAACATTTTTCTCGATTTATTAACTGATCCGTCGTTTTGCACTCTATATGAAAGATTTTCAAATTCCTCAATCTATTTCAAAGATATAAAGGCATTTCTCAATTGGGCGACATGGGATTTTTTGTGCATCGCGATACGGACCATTTTTTATCACGATAGGTTCAAATATCGTGATACAGAAATTTTGCCGGAAATAAACTTTTTATAACGTTATCAAGTATCTCGTTTCTTGTTTCTGCTGAAAAGTGTTTGAAAGCTGGCGCATGAGACCCAAGATCTGAGACGCATTGGCAATATCGCAATATCGCAACGGTATTCCGGTATAGGAAAAATGCCATATCGTATAATCGTACAATCCGCACCTTCCAGTTATACCCAAATATAGTTATATCCTTTTCTTCTTCGCACCATACCGTCATTTTTGTATATCGTTTGGAGTCCAATATGGGAAATTTCGCTTTCTGTGATCCAGCTTACTCTTTATCGACTGCTTTGACATCTTAAAATTGTGCTGACAAAAGAGAACCTCGACCAGAATTCGATTGCGAAAAAGCGTCATTTCTGATATGTAACTGTGAAATAGGGGCTTAACGAGAAGGGGTGGTAAAGGAAAGGGTCAAAAATGGCCCACAGTGACGTTTTTGTGGAGTCATGCCGCCCTCCCTTAAAAATTTATAGGCAAAATAGGAAGGGGTGATATTATGGGAAGACACCATTATATTCAACTCCGTAGTCTTATGCGCTCACAAGCCAACTTTTCTTATTTATCAGGGCAATAAATAGAAAGTTAACGTACCGATGGATTTTGTCGTAGTAAATTCTGGGCAAAATTATGGAGTTCTTCTTCTCTGGATTCAGCTAAACATCTGTCGTATTTGATATACCACTTACAACCTAGAAGAAAAAGAGTTTAACTTTCTGAAAAACGTATTTCCCATTCATTCACATATTACCTGTTTCCTATTTAGAAAGAGTAAAAAAATATACTTAAAAAATAACTGTATTTGATACATCCCAGAAGATTTCACATTAAAGGGACAGTTGCGCCATTTTGTTTTTTTACCAATCGTATCTTAGTCTCAGAAACGTTTTTTATTTAGTTAAGTCAATCAGTAATAGCTCAACGTCGAAATTTTAGCCTTCAAATCCAGGTTTGTCCATGATAATCCGCGTTTGAAAGTTAAAGAGACGAGTCGTCTTGAGACACTGCTATATATAGAGACATCTGTAGAAATAGGAAAAGAATTTCCCAGTATGTGTTATTTTTGAAGGAATTATGTGATTTATACACATTTCTAGTAGACCTACTGACGACTATTTACATACTATTCTAGACTCAAATCAACCCCAAAAATGGCGCATCTGTCTCTTTAACATTTAAACAAATCACAGAAAGATTAAACAACTTTATAACACAATATTCCTCATTTACAACCTCAAAAAAATGTTCGAAGCCATTTAATTACCTTTCAATCGTGGAATAGCCAGGTGTCTGTTAGTCAACCCATTTTCATTGGCACATTTCAGAACTTTTGTCAGATTTTCACACAGTGTTATAAATTCAGCGTATGTTCTTTTCACACAGCACATTCTACCGTCCGACCACTGCACTTCAACGGCGAACACATAATCCAATTTTCCATTAAAATTTGATTTTCGTTCTGCAAATCCATTTACTTTCACATTATCTATGTGTATGTTTTGGCATGTCATCGAATCCAAAATTCGCGATGCCATAACAAACACAAAATCTTAGTCGTACTCATTGTTGATAAACACTCTAATATTTGAAGGATTGTTTGCTTCCTCATTCGGTTTAGTCTTGATTACCATGACATATCATACAATCAAGTACACATTTTATAGACTCAACAAACGAGACTAATATGATAGTATATGCGTAATCATGTGTCAAACACGACCAGTAGTAGCACACTAAAATGTATGCCACGTTGACAGGCCAAATATAGATCACCGTCCTAATTTATTTTCTCTATATAGGGTGTATAGGAAATAGTTTTATCTACAACAAATGTATTTCTTTTAAAGTTGAAAATAGGACCTTATTATATTCAACACATGTCTACAACTTTCTTTAAGTAAAAATTTTTTTTCCAGATTCCTAATGTAATAAACCTCATATTATTGACGCAATATCAATAATAAATATTACATTACTTGAGATATACTCAATTAAACGTAACTTTCTATTCCCGCTTTTAAAGGGATGTAGTCTTATAATTAACGTTTGCGACGTAACGCAGTAACTTAACGAAGTGACACCCATTGACACCCGATGACACTACTTCTTTAAGCATTTATGACGTTGTGACACCCGCCGTCGGTAGCGTTTGTTGCCCAGTTTGCACAAGCTGGGGCTAGCAAATGGTATTAAGATTTATTCTTGCAAAATTTTAGAAAATTCTCATTACGACATTGCACTTATGAAGACTTTAATTATTGGCACACCAAAGTGTGTGTCATTGCGCATCTTTGATATACATATCATGACTGATCATGCTGTAAAAAGGTGATCAGCATGGTTTTGGCATACACTACATTGTGCTTTTTCAGGATTATCTTCTCCAAAAAGAGCATTTTCCATGTTTATCTGAAGGTTGTAAAAGTATTTATATAAGACAGTTGAAAACAGTGACGGCGCCAGCCTCCCAAAACTGGGCGTACAAAAAGGGGACAGACAGACTCAATGGACTGACAACTGTCTCGTCTGATTTCAGAATGCGGCAACGGTGGAGGTTTCATAGTTGAATGCCTTTCACGTCACTGATTAAATATAATATGCATGTATATATTGATAAGATCAGGTTCAGTTTTGAGTTATTGCCCTTGACTTAGTAAACACGTTTCAATTTTTGGCTTGTAGACATGATAGATGTTCCAATTTTAAATCGCTTAATGAACCTTGGTATGTAGGTATTCATTAAGAAGATCAGCAAAAGTATACTAATTAATAATTTTTTTTAACTAAAAATGCATCTTAATTTCTAGAATATGTATTCTACTTCACACAATTGCTGCTACGTTACTCCGGAGCCCATGTGAGAAGAGGCATGCGCAGTAAGTAACAGTTTTTCGGCATGCTTCGCGTAGAAAAGTCTGACCAATTTCTCTACTTTTGTTTTGTGATCGAGATAATCCATCTTATAAAAACAAAATAAAATTTTTTAACAAGTGGCCTGTAAGCAAGGAACTGTCTGCGCAGACTTCAAAACAGGTTCTCGCCTTATATTATCATGTTTTGTATGGGCAATAACAACCGTATCTACAGATAATCACTACTCTCGAATATAGATGTTGCAATGTATGTAACAGTGAATACTGAGGACATTAAAAGTCATGTTTCCATATCAGGAGAAAGTATGTTTCCAGTTATGCTTACCTTACAAGATACTAGGAATATTATCTACCAAAATATCGAGAATATTCAGAATGAAATAAAATCAACAACACTGCCCGACTCTTGCCACGTGTAGTCTGCAAGCCAATGTTCTTTATAAGCAAATGTCCTAGTAGCGGTCACAAAAGTAAAGGCTCAAGAGCCACAACTAAATCGCAAAAAATACTTACAAAATACGTCCGTTCCTTTGTACTTTTAAATTAAAAGTGACAATAAAAGGAAGTAACATTTTGTTTTATATTGTTAACGCGGACGTTACAGTAAAACAATGACGTGACGTCATAATCGTTTAAGGCGAAAATTGAAAATGTTTAAAAAAAAATTGAAATTGTGCTTGATTTTGTGCGAAACATTCAAATTTTACACCGAAATATTGATCAAATAACTATTTGGTCCAGGTGATTGCTCCTGGTGTGTGAAGGCTGAAAAAGGTTAGGAACCACTGTGCTAATTGGTACAGATGTTTTTGGTTTTCGTATTTTATGAGTCAGAAAGTGTCATTTTTCTATCCGTAAAAATTTAATTTGTTCACATTATTTTTATTCTGGCAAAAAAAAAAAAAAAAAAAAAAAATTATTCAATTGATGTTTTTATTTATAAACTTTTATTATTTTTGACGGAATATTCTACACATGTTACCATGATCTAAAAACTTTCATCTTTCATGAGATTTTTCATATTTTCTATAGACGAATATTGTCCGATAACCGTCATAATTGCTATCAATTTGTTTGTAAGAGTTTGAAAAGAATAAAATAGTCTTTTAAAGGAACAGATTTGCCATCCGTTTGACCAACCGTTAAGTCTCAGAAACGGGAATTATTTTTAACTAAGCTAATCAAAAATAGGGTTGACAACTCACTGTCGAAATTTGAGCCAACAAATTCGAGTGTGTCCAGAACTATCCACGTTTGAAAGTTAAAACTTGTATTTTATTGAGACGAAAAAGGAAGTGAAATTCCTATTTAGAGTAACCTGTCTTTGCTTATGTCTTATCATTCCTATATAATATGCATAAATATTTTTGACAGACAATAATCAAAATCGGAATCGGAGTCCGAAAGGAAAATTTGCAATACAAAACTAACTTACCTTAAACGACCGTTCCTCTGGATTCTTGAATTAAAAATGACAATAAAAGAAAGTAACATTTTGTTTTATATTGTTAACGCGGACGTTATAGTAAAACAATGACGTGACGTCATAAGCGTTAATGGCGAAATTTGAAAATGTTTAAAATTTTTGGAAATTGTGCTTGATTTTGTGCAAAAAATTCAAATTGTAAACAGGGATATTGTTCAGTTAACTATTTACTAGAGGTTTTTAGATATAATAGAGTACTGTTTATAATATTAATGTTTCTACAAGTTAAAACTTGTCAATCAATTTCTAAAAATTTGAGTTTTTAAATTTTAAAAGGAAACGAAAGCAAAAAATTCAACTAATGTCTGAGCAAAGTAGAAAAGTTTTTTGAATGTTTCCCATTATTTTTATGAGAATTGGAATATCAGCCTCAAAATACTACTGATAGTCTTAGAATGTCTTTGCGTTGATAAACATACATTCTAAGACCATAAGGCCCGTTTACAGGAGTTGGACTTGGACCCGTGGATTTGCTGACCCGGGTTGATTCCGGAGTTCAAAACTCTGCCAGGTCGCAATTTCAGTGAAGCCTGGGCAACCAATGACGTGGTTATAGCCATCTGTCGGCATAAACTGCTAAATCCGGGTCGAATTGGAGTGAAGACTGAAGTCGACAACTCCAGTAAGGACCCGGAGTCGACCCTTGGATTTTACTCTCGCGTAAACGGCCCTTATATATATCAGTACTATTTTGAGGCTGATGTTCCAATTTTCTTTAAAAATATCGAAAAAATTAAAAAAAACTTAGTATCACGTTTAACAAACGATTAGCGAATCTGTCCTTTTAACAACACTTTATCGTTAAAATTACTTTTACGAAGAAGCTCGATTTTTTTTCAAAATTTAGGGGAAAGTAAATCGTTTCGCATGATGATTATTTCTTCAAAGAACAATGATTTTTTTAAAAACATAGTGACTAACGAAATAAGATAAGTAAAACGTATGAGTAATGCTAAAATGCATTGGAACATAAGAATGTGGCCCACTATGTGGAATCCGCTAATTTGTCACGTGACTTCATTGGAATATAAAAAATAGGAAAGAATTGAATTATGAATTACAATATTTATGACAAAAAACCATATTTTTTATACAATAGAATCTCTCATAGGCTCATTGTACATTTTTTCAATAGAATGTCACATATTGAGATAAAGATGGTGCAATCAGGAACGTTAATATCAACAAAAAATTCAATATAATGGAATTTTCATGGTTAACTGTTTAAAATATTTTAAAATATGTTCAATTTTTTCCGATAGAAATATACATTGTGTTCCATTCAATTTTTCTGCTGACATGGAATCCGCTTGTTTGTCACGTGACTTTGTTCACTGGAATATATTTTAGCAGTCGACACTTGGAATTCTAATCCAACCACCAACTACTACGACTACCAACAACCACCTAGTTCGCGATATGAGCATCCGCTGCAAGCGAACGTTAACTTGTCATCTACCTAACTACCTACTTGGAATTTTGATAACAGCTTGGGATTATAAGGAAATTTGGCCGATAAAAAATTGTGATGTTTGGTAATAAGTGAAATCGCCATGTTGTGTATGTAGAAATAGATAATACATTTGACATTGCTTTGAAACGATAGGAAAAATTTTAGCAAAGCTTTCTTGAAAGTTAAGTTTAAGGGTCCTAAAGAGAAGGTGTCCTTTACTGATTTTGAATCATCAATCAAGCTTTTATCATGCATAGAATATTATGTAGTATTAGACTATTAGTGCCATTTTACATAAATGAAATGCATATCTTCTTTAATAGTTTCTTTATTGAACAATTAGCTGAATACATTCAGTTAGACTACGATTACATGTGTGCTCAAACTCAAGCACAAACTCAAACTCGATTAAAACGGATGACCACGGACAGTTTTATCTCCGGTATGACATCATTACTGTAGGGGATTTTCATCTCCTTCTATGTTTACTGACACCATACCGTTCGATTTCCTTATACACTGGCGATTTTGCGGAATCATCGTACGTACACATGTAATCACGTTTTAAGTTTGATGTCGGGGAGATTAAATTTGAGTGACATTTAATCGTAGCTATAGGTCCAGATTCCTTTTGTTCGTAGTTGCACAAGCGTAGTACGTATCCATAACTGCGAAAAATTGCTTCATTTATTTACGTATTGTGTATACGCAAAAGTCTTAAAGCACCACCGACTGATAGAAAATTGAGCGATTTTTTTGCGACCACGGATGTTGTGCGAATCTTTAAATAGAAAGAATGACGTCAGAGTATTCCCCGACAGTCATTGGCTGGATTCAAATAGCTTTTCTTACGTCTTGGTTAACGACGTACATATTACGTAGGTGCTTTGTTGCGTAATACATATCGCACACACGTATACGGATGCGTATACGACTGCGCACAGCGAACAGAAGGAGTCTGGTCCTTATCTCAGAAAATTGATCGTGCGTGCCAACTTCTGATGAAAAATGTTGTTTTCAAGGTAAAACCGCTTGTCGAAAAGAAAATGGATCTGAAGGATTGGATCTTCTGTTACGGGAGGAAATTCGCTGTTTCATGTAGCCGACTTCTGCCAAAGGGACCTGACAATTGTGGAATGAAGTAAAAACCCCTCTGGTTCTTGCAGAAATAGAACACTATTCTCAAACTTTGAAATTTGAATGTCGATAGTTTCTGTAAGACCCCACTTCCACTAGCCATAAGATCGCTCTCGGCAGTTCTATCGACAGTTGGATTTTGATACCTGATATTTTATAGTAGATCCCCTTTGCTCTCGGCAGGTCTATCAAGAGTTGGTTGCGACTGTCTATCAGTTTCTCGCAGAGTAGCCTACCTGTAACATGCGAGTTGCCCTCGCGCTGTAAAACTCTCAAGAGGCTCTCAAAACACGTTGTCATATAACTACTGCCCCATCTACCATCTTATGCTAATGGTAAGGTAATTTTAATATAAAAAAAATAATAACGTAAGTAAGAATATCATATAATTTATAAATTATAAGTGTATAATATCGTAATTATTTAAGTAATATAATCGTTATCTATTGGTTAACGGTTCAAAGGAGTACAAAGTAATAAGTTTGTTATACATGATCTTAACAATATGACAATTCTCTAATCATTTCATCGAATCGAGTTTCCATTTTTTTAAAAGCACTAATGGAGGATCAGAAGACTGGTTCATTACTTTGTGCAGAGTGTTTTTGAATACATAGCTTTGTATCTGTCACGTCTACTTGCAGCCAATATTAACACATCCGTAATCTATGGACTTGCATGAACAGGATAAAGCACACCTACAGAAGCGAGAGCTTCCTTTCGATCCTTTGCCGGACCCTGAAATGGGTTTCTTTCCACCCGATAATTTTCCTAAAATACTCGAAAGGTCGAGTCCAGGTAACAGTCCTGAGCCAATAGATGGCTTAGGAGCCTTTGGTTTCGGTGCAGGTGAAAGCTTTCCCAATAGACCCGAGAGGTCGAGACCTTTACCCGGACTGGAGCCAGTGGATTTTGAGGGTGTGCTAGGGGCGGTAGGTTTGCTAGAGGCGGTAGGTTTTTTGCCGCCTGTTAATGCACTTAACACAGGAGCTAGGTTTCCTAGAAGACCCGACAGGTCAAGTCCAGGTCCAGAACTGGATCCAGTGGATGGTTTAGAAGTAGTGCTTGGTGAACCAGTTGAGGGCTTAGAATCAGGTTTTGGACCTAATAATCCACTTAGTATTGGTCCTAGTTGTCCCAAAAGACCCGAAAGATCAAGACCGGGTGCCGAACTAGTGCCAGTGGATGGTTTCGATGTGACTGTTGTACCAGTCGATGGTTTGCCACCTCCTAAAGCGCTCAGAACTGCTGACAAGTCGAGTCCTGATCCGCGACTAGTAGCGACAGATGGTCTAGAGCCCGTTACCCCCAAGAGAGATGAAATGTCAAGCGCTGACCCAGAGCGGGTCTTTTGGCTACGACCGGACAGCGTGCTTAATATTGCTGATAAATCAAGAGAAGACGTAGATGGTGTCGTGGAGGTCGATGACGATTCGGATTCAGTAGCCGAGGATGATGATGATGAACCCGACTGGCCTTGCATCAGTTTCAAAATTGAAGATAAATCAAAATTTCCAGATCCGCCACTTTCGTCGTCATCACAGCACTTTTCCCTATAATCATCATCGTCTTCACAACGGTTTCTGTGTTCGTCATCGTCATCGTAATGGCAGTCGTCATTTCCGTTGTCATTTCCGTTGTCATTTCCACCACCACCATTTCCACCACCACCATTTCCACCACCATTTCCAGCTCCACCGCCATTTCCAGCTCCACCACCATTTCCAGCTCCACCACCATTTCCAGCTCCACCACCATTTCCGTCGTCGCCACCACCATTTCCAGAGCCACTGCCATCATCACCACTTTTACCATTGTCTCCACGACTTGAGGTTAGACTGGTAATCAGAATTTTTATGATATCTCTATATATTTCAACATTTGTTGTAGATGGGGCAGAATGTTCACGTTCAACCTCAGGAGATTCTTGTTTATATTCTCTGGGCTGTTTCCTCTGGACAGGTCTTCGCGTGATCTTCCTTCTTGGCTTCCGACTCGTCTTTCGAGAAACTTTTCGAGATGATTTTCGTGTAGTCTTTCTAGTAGATTTTCGTTTTGATTTACGGGATGTTTTTGTTTTGCGGGATGTTTTTGATTTGCGGGATGTTTTTGGCTTACGGGATGTTTTGGGTTTGCGTGATGTTTTAGGTTTGCGGGATGTTTTTGGCTTTCTTTTGGGCTTATCATCAGGCTTCTTCTTTTTATCGGTTCTCGGTTTGTGTTTAGGAGTTTTGACACTGCCATCGGGTTTAGTTTTTGGTTTCGGGGTGTCGGGTTTCTTTTTGTCATCAGGTATACCTGGGATGTATATACCAGGACCTCCGGGGCCACCAGGACCTCCAGGACCTCCGGGGCCACCAGGGCCACCAGGGCCAAAGCCTCCACGGCCACCATGACCTCCGGGGCCACCAGGACCTCCAGGGCCACCAAGACCTCCAGGGCCACCAGGCCCAAAGCCTCCATGGCCACCAGGACCTCCGGGGCCACCAGGACCTCCAGGGCCACCAAGACCTCCACGGCCACCGGGGCCAAAGCCTCGACGGCCACCAGGACCTCCACGGCCACCAAGACCTCCACGGCCACCAAAACCTCCAGGGCCACCAGGGCCAAAGCTTCCGGGACCACCAGGACCTCCAGGGCCACCAGGACCTCCGGGGCCACCAGGACTTCCAGGGCCACCAGGGCCAAAGCTTCCGGGACCACCAGGACCTCCAGGGCCACCAGGACCTCCGGGGCCACCAGGACCTCCAGGGCCACCAGGTCCAAAGCTTTCGAGGCCACCAGGGCCAAAGCCTCCGGGACCGCCAGGACCTCCAGGGCCACCAGGACCTCCGGGGCCACCAGGGCCTCCAGGGCCACCAGGTCCAAAGCCGCCGGGGCCTCCAGGTCCAACACCTCCGGGGCCACCAGGTCCAATGCCTCCGGGGCCATCAGGTCCAATGCCTCCAGGGCCACCAGGTCCAATGCCTCCGGGGCCACCAGGGCCGCCAGGTCCAAAGCCTCCGGGGCCACCAGGTCCGGCACCAAGTCCAAGGCCTCCAAGACCATCATCAATGTCGTCTTCATCTGAAGAATCTGAACCCAAAAGTTCATCTTCGAGTGAACCTAAAACTGGACCTCCAGGAGATTCAATTGATGGTGATATACCAACCGATGCTCCATTATCTGGAAATCCATTACCGAGTGATCCATCGTCCGAATATCTGTATCGAGGGGACCCACTTCCCGGTTTTCCGTTATCTTGGGCTCCATAAGCAAGAGATCCGTCATCTGAAAATCTATAATTTGTGGCCTTCCTTCCCGGTGTTCCATTATCTTGTGATTTATAAGCAAGAGATCCATCATCCGAAAATGTATATCTGGAGGATCCACTTCCCGGTGTTCCATTATCTGGTGATCCATTACCAGGAGATCCATGATCCGAATATCTGTGCCCAGATGACCCTCTTCCATTATCACCAAGGGATCCATCATTGTTATATCCAGTGTAATATGATCCTGATTCTGATGAACCAGACTCAGAAGAGTCAGATCCAGATGAATCAGAATCTGACGAATCGCTGGAATCAGAATAATAGTCACCTCCACCGGCTCCGCCTCCAGCTCCGCCATAGCCTCCGGCTCCGACTCCGCCATCGGCTCCGCCATAGCCTCCGCCATCGGCTCCTCCATCGGCTCCTCCATCGGCTCCGCCATAGCCTGCGCCATAGCCTCCACCATAGGCTCCGCCATCGGCTCCTCCACCGGCTCCAACACTGGCACCATCAGCACCTCCAGCACCTCCAGCTCCACCAACACCACCAGCTCCACCAACACCACCAGCTCCACCAACACCACCAGCTCCACCAGATGCACCAATGCCCACACCGCCGCTAACACGATCAGTATAACCTTTTCCAGTACCACCAATATGAGACAAATTAAATATAATAGACAATATATCATAGAGATTGGTTATTGATATATATGAAGAACTTTGGGATGTTGAACTTCCAAGATTAGTAATTGGTACTTGAGGCTCTGGCTTTATACCACCTTCGGGTTTACCGCCGCCAGGCTTTAATCCGGGGGCACTACCGTCAGGTTTACTGCCACTTGGTTGTTTAGGCTTTGGTTCAGATACACCTGGCACTATTCCGTTGACACTACCGTCAGGTTTACTAACACTTGGTTGTTCAGGCTTTGTATCAGGCTGCTTAGGCTCTGATTTCGTTTCTTCGGTGTCTGTAGGGAAGCCTGAGTCAACATCTGGGAGAACGCCGTCAACAATGGAATTGATTTCAGATGAATATTCAAAAGTTGATTCGAATTCATAATCATAAAAAGATGAAAAGTCCAGATCTGGTAAATCGTCACAATCTATTCTTGGATTCCTGTAAATATACATAAAATTTGTTTTTACAGGATTGAAATCTTTAAAATATATAAATTTATTTTGTGAACAACTGAATCAGTAACATAAGACCAACCATCATATTATAATTCAGTCGTAAGACTTATCAATACTTTTATTCTAAAAACCTCTTGGCAAGATTAAGTGCGGTTTCCCTCAATCTCAAGATAAGGTAACAACAAGATGTATTGAAGAAAAACAAATACATTCAACCTACATGTATGATGGTACTCTGAATGGATTAACTGTAATAACTTCTAGATCCAGAACTTCGCAGATAATTTTAGCCATAGATATACCTCTTATAGAAAATAATTGAGCTGGAATGACAGAACAGATTCAAGTTAAGATTGTCAAGTAAAAGTATAGACTGTCTTTGAACATTTTCAAGCCTGCACTTTGCGTGTTCCGAACTTAATTAAAAAGAACAAAAGCAGGAGAAATGTTTAGCTAACGATTGGAATGCTTGATTGAATTCAAAAGAACACCGTATGGATTATTGTTCATTTTTAGAAATTAAAAGAATGGAGTTATACGTCCTACACGTTATACGTGGCATTAGCCTGCTCTTTTTCGATTTCCAACTATCGAGGGATCTTTAACGTGCACAGCCTGTAGCACATGGGGCCTCGGTTTATAGTCCCATTCGAACGACTAGACTCTTTTTCCATATCAATCATTTTTTTTAGAAAGAAACTATCTTTACCTGAGGTAAAGTCATCATCAGATTCGTAGAAATCATCATCGCCATCCCTAAGGTCTCTAAACTGTCTGGCAATAAGATTGGCAAATAGCGGTCCAACACTTGATCCTGGGAGGTTCTCTTCAGCCATACCACCAGTGTACACATCAATATCGTTGACATTACTGAAATATACGGAATTAATATTATTAAGACAGAAATATTACGTTGCACTAACAACCAATCATATAAAATTTTAGCTATTGAAAAGAGTGGTCGCACGATGTCAAGAACACCCACACGGCAGGCTTTAACCTATGTATGTAACATCAAATACATCAATGTACATAACCAACCCACGTTTCACCAGTTTTTCCAATCAAAACTTTAGTATTTGTTGTGCCAATCTTAATGTTTTTGTCTAAGTCATACTAGGTTACATAAAATTCAGATCAAAATCCCGCTCACAACCCACATCCCAAATATCGTCAAATGCTGATCAGATCAAAAAAGTAGACTATAACTAACGCATTTACAAGCCTATGTTGACGTAATTTTGCCTATGTTGACGTAATTTATGATTTTGCCTATGTAAGGGGCAATTAATAGGCATCTATATATGTAAAAGCTTATACTTTGAGTTCATCTCAAAGTGATAAGGACAAACTTAAGTAGTATAGTTTATAGTTGCATTACAGAGTTTATATTTTGGAGGTTTATTTACCGTTTTGGAAAATTGGTTCTGAGAAGTCTTTTTCTGTTTATTCAAAATGCAATTCTGCTCAACGAGATAATATTTACTTTTGATAAGAATAGTTCGGGTAAATAAATGTTTCAAATATATTGAGGTTTCTACTTACTTGTATATTTTACTGAGAGCCGCGCCATTTGATCCAAACACTGAGTCGTTGAATGATCTAACAATGTATAGTCCACAGGCTCTTCTGTACAAGTTGTAAGGAGCCAAACCATTATCTCTGCCTCTTTGGATAGTGTTGGCAACTTCATCAAAAGAATCATCACCCTCTTCCATAAAATGATCAGTGACTTCATCGGACACAAATACTGTCCTTCTTCTTCCGGGTTTCAATAGAAGATCCTCAATGAAATCATCAGCGTCTTCGTCGAATAAAAGACATGGAGAGTTGTACAACTGTCTGGCAGGGATATCATCATCACCGATTCTGTAGTAATTTGGTGTAATGGCGTCTTTAAATCTAAATGCAGCATGGGCAAAAACGTTTGCTATTCTGGGATCCACGTCTGAGTCGTATCTGTAATAACCTTCGTCCAGCTCATATTCATCATAAATATCGTCAGACAGTAACACTGGTAAGAATTCGGTATATGTAATTCTCTAAAAAATAGAACATTGAATAACATATAAGATTTTAAACAATCCAAGAAAAAGAACTGGATTGATTAATTTCTCGCTCACATGATGCAAAAGGAATTTGGTGTATCAATCATATACCGCACTACTCAAACTGTCGAGGCAGATTTGAAAATGCGGAAACTCTGTAAATTAGTTATAGAGGTTCTACCAAGAATTTTTTTTTTGGACTGTTATTCCAACTTTCAAATATTGCCTATTCCTACCTGTAAAATCGCAGCGACAATTTTCTTAGAAAGACGAAATCTTGTCTCACTATCGAAATCAGTATCTTCATCGAAATATGACCCAATGACGTTGTGTAACCTCACAAAGATTGTATGCATCAATGTCAAACCAGGATACATATGTACACGTTCATCACCTATAAAAAGAAAGAGAAATTTGTGCTGTAACTGCAATCGCAATCACTTGATTGTTCGATCAGGCAACAAATATATACGGAGGGGCGATGGTGTATGATAAGTTGTAGGTTGTCAACATTTTTCAGAGGGAGAGAGCAGTCCTTGTAATGCTCTCTTGCCCCCTGTAGCAACGGACCTGGGTATCTGAAAGAATGAATTGTGCGCGTACCACAAAATTTCGATCAGCCCTAAAAGGTCGATCACGTTGTTCATTTTGAATTGAGACAGGTTTAAAGGTATGGACATGAAAAATGGAGACTTGCATCAAAATTTGGTAGTAAAATTGAGATTAGCAAGGAACCAGTCTAGTTTTAAAGAATCTTATATAACTTACCAGCTTTGAAACAATAATCATCATCACCGCATAGTGCACAATCATCATCATCACCTTCCGGTAAAAGATAACCATCATCTGATGTCGCAAGATAACCTAAAGAATAACAGCATTCATATCAATTACAGTGTTCTTAGTCATCATTTCTGTTCTGCCCCAGTCCTCGATCAAAATCTATATTCATACACTATGCATATTGAGCTATGTGGACGCCAAAAACTATTAATCTGAGGAAAAGGTTGGGCACCCCAACTGCTGCTCAATAAAAACATGAACTCGATCTGAAGAAGCCCTATAAGGCGACATATTCGTGGTCTTTTTTCTACCATCATCAAATAATACTTTTACAACACAACGTGTAAAGTCGTTCATATGCCTCCTCATAGCATAAGCCTAAAAGGACAAAATGCTAAAGATATAAGAATAATCTTACCATCATCATCAGAATCTCTCAGTTCGTATTCAGTCTCATCATCACAACCATAAATAACAGATGCATCAATTAGGGGAGATTTCAAATTAATTTGCTCTCTTGGATGACGATAATCTGGAATGATAATTGTTATGGGGTGGGTTTATACTAAGTCGAGTTCTAGGGGTAAAATTTGTATGGTGAATGGACTGAAAACTATTTATAGGTAAGTAAATGAATTTTCTTATATGCTCAGCTTATTTTTAGGATTTAATCTCTTAAGACGAGAATAATGTTCCAATACCCGGCCAGTGCTTTCAAGTCAAATACATGTTGTAGATCTAAAAAAAACTCACCTTCGACATCATCGTAAGCCTTTGATCTGAGATAATTGATACAGTGGCTCTTGAAATGCGAATCCCCATAAGGAACAGGAATAGCATAACATCTATCACTGTAAAGAAATCAGGAATCACTTATGAAATAGCATGAGCGAGACTCATTGCAAGTAAAGTTGTATCTACTTAAATACAGTTGTCCTAATAGCTGGAAGAACTAGCCTTTATCTACCTGTACCCCTTTTGAAAATTGTAATTGGAAATCTGGTGTATGAACACTTAAAGAAAACGTTTCAAACTAATAACGATATGCTGAAATGCCATCCATAATACCAAAATAGGGGGAATCGTCCACCGATACATTTCATCATTTATTTAATTTTCATTACTAATCGTTTAGATAACTGAAGATAAGCTCTATCCGAAAACTATGTGTGTTCTTGTATTTGTCACCACATTGTTAATAATATAACATGTGCTTGGTTCAAACAAATCACTCAGTCATTTGCTTTGTTCGACAAAAGATGCTGAATTGTTCCATAGCGACCAGAAGAGGGGAATTTACCTGATTCTTGCATTGTCCCGGAATTCACCATCATCGTCGTACAGTTCATCGCAGCAATCATAAAGATCGTCGGCTACAACGAAGAAAACCAATCGTAAGAACATGAGACAAATACGATGCACCGCTATGTCATATCAGCTATGCGGCATCAGGTATTCCAGAAGATTGCACAAGGCCTGTTTCTCCATCGACACTCGACAGTTTGCACAGTTTAAATACTGGAAGGTTTTTTTGTAAGCAGGAAGGTGGAACTTTTGTCGACAATATCATACATATTATCACGATTAATTACTAAGCAATTTGAGTTTTCTGTGATCATAAGGATGGCAAATTATTTAATTTTAGTTGACCCCTACAAAGAAACAGTGAAACGTACCTTCTTCAACGGCTGTAGAGTACATATCATGTTCAATAAATACAGAGAAGACTCTAAATAACTCAGTAAGTCTGCTTTCATCGTCATCATATTCATAACGATCTTCTAGGTCATCATCAAAATCATCGTCGTCGTCGTCGTCGTCATAATATACACTTGGACTGTACCCTGATTTCTTAGAATCGACAATTCGAGACAATATTCCATTTTCAGATTTAGATTTTCTGTTTGATTTGGATTTTCCTTTTTTCTTATTGGAGCCCCCAGAACCTTTTTTGGATTTTTTCCCATTATTGTCGTCACTTTTTGAATGAACACCTTTACTGATTGCTCTGGCACTTGGTAAGTAAGGTCTGTAACAACCATCTTCTGTCTCATACTCACAGTCTCCTTTGATTCTTGGTTGACATATTCCTAAAATAGATGGAAATTATGAGATTGAAACTCTACTTCATCAAATTGGGAGCAGACTGACTTAATGACAGGACAACTTTCGGTGTTGAATTCAAAATACGACAGCTCCGTGGAAGCGCATAGAGCCTTTAACTGAGCATCTCAGAGGATTATCTCAAAGAAAATATTTGAAAAAATAGAATTTATTCGGTGCCTAATGTTTCAAATTTTTGGGCAAAAACTGGCGTCGCCACCAACAACAATGCGTCCAAAGCATCCACGAATAAGAGACGCTTTAAAATATCGACGATGACTTTAATAGAGAGCTAAACTTACTGTCATCATACTGTGCCTTGGCGTATCGCTTATATTTATCATAAGCTCTGACAACAACAGAATCATCGCCATTATTACACCTATCATCATCATCACTATCATAATAATCACCATAGGAATCCAAACATCTTGTCTTTCTGTAACAAAAATTGATAACGTACATGGTGAAGTTTTTTTTTTTACTATTTCGGTGTCGTTAATTTGTACGACAATCATCTTTAGAATATTTCAGATTTAGAACGTTGAGCATTATACAGTGTACACCTTCTTTCTTGCACACTGAATGCCGTTGTGAGAATTGAGTCTTAATTCCTTTGCCATGCTAATCCAAGGGTGTCTCATTTCAAATACCATTTCTTACTTATTATCATTACACCATTGTACTAATCATTAATGTATCGTGTACTAATACACTTCTTGCCACTTTGCAATGATACTTTATTTTTTTCTTTTGCTGCATATCACCCATTGTTTGATTTGGCAAACTGGGTGTTGTGTTGTTCTTTCCCACACTTACTATATTAACCGCAGTTAACAAAGTATGCATCTTACCGTGGAAGATTCCTTGAATAAGCATGACCAGGATTCATCATATACATTTCTTCAGTTAATGGAGAAAGTCCTGCAAAAAATAAAAAATAAAAAAAATTGAGTATTGACATAGATTGTAACGTTTACTTGTAGAAATGTGTTTGCCATTGCTTGAGGAGTTTTCTTTATACCGTGGGTACAGACGTGCTCCAAGCTCGCTGACTTGGGAAAAGCTTCCTACAGCACCTAAGGTTAACGAGCACCTAACTCTCAAAGTCAGTGTATGATTGTCTGATTTTCTTTTTCATAAAAACCTGTTTAAAGTTCACACAACAAGCAATAAACTTCGGAACAGGTGCAACATGTTCGACAGTAGCAATAAATCCACCAAGTTTTTTTTAATTTTCAACTCCTTTTTTTTAATATGTCATATTCAAAAATCAAAACGTTAAAAGTCGAACATAAATCTTTGTACACATCTTATTTCATTTAAAATGATTGACAGTTTATTTAGATATGACATGAATTAGAAATGATATGCATATAAATAACAATTTAAGTCACTCAAGGGTGAAATTTATGTGCCAAATCTTGTTAACTGTAGGATTAAATCAATCATATTTGTTGTGAAAACATTGCATCTTCCAATTAATAAAATGCACTAAGAAGCAATAAAAAAATACTGACAGAAAATTGATGCACTGACAAACTGACATCTATTGAAAGATACCAAAATTGCACTCTCATTTTTAAGCGTTTTTAAGCATTTCTATGCCTTATTTTTTATGTGACTCTTAGGCTTAGTCCATAAGTGAATCTTCCAGCGTGTCGAAAGAAAGGACATTTAGGTCGACAGAAATCATTCAGATCGGCAATTGATTCATATGGTACATGCCTGTAGTGCCGAAATACATATTTTCGACAACAAAC